CATGGGCATTTATTATTGAATATTTAAAGAATTTACCTCTGATTATTAGTATGCATAATCTTTAGTTGAGGGGTTGGAAGTCTATTATAAGGTGCTTTACTCTTTTATTGACTATGAATCCCGTTCCTAGTTTGTGTTCCGTTGGATGGCAGCTATAATATATTATATAATTCTTTTCTCTAATATTTTATTTCCCAACCATCTCATTTTCTGGAGTGCAATTATATCGCTCCTATATACTTCTGCACTATTAATGAGAGACTGTCCTGTTCAGAGATCTTATATTCCACGAGAATAGTCCAAAGCCATTGTCCTTTTTCGCGCCAAGTCGTCGTCTAGATTTCAGTCCCGAAACTTTACCTTAAATTCTCGTAACATGCTGTTTTTTTACGGTGGTGTTAACCCTACGCCCAACCCCCAACCTGGAGGACCAGTTCACCCGCTCTCGTCAGTTTCCGACGCAACTTTCCACCCGGGTTGAATACTGGATCTCCAGTTGGGTTGCTCGGTTTAACAGAGGGCACCAATGTGAAGGTAAGAGTCGGATTTGAGTAGAAGAGGCTAAGTGGGCTAAAATGGAAGCAACTCCATGTTTTCGCATTCTACCCCTTTACGCCCCCCTAATCTACATCTACAGTTTCGTTATCTTTTATGCATATTATGTTAGAGTAAAAACCTTTTTAGTATCTAGGAATATATCTAGATGTGATAGTTTGATTAAAAGAAATTCAAAATTAAAAATCCAGGATTATTTTGATATCTTTCATTAAAGTTTTTGTTAAAATCCTCGATGTTACCGCTCGCTATGTAAAGAATGGCCTTTAATTTTTTTTATGAGAAACAATTAAACTCTTATTATTTTAAGAGTCCGTAAAACTTTCATCTTCTTAACGTTTAGTAATACGAACCGTGAAGCAAGTATTTTTGAAAACACTATAAAAGCGTCGTGGGAGTTATTCAGTTTTAGAGCAGCATCATTTGACATCAGTTATCGAAATAAAACTGTTAGATTTAAAAATATTTTTAGAACGATGTTGCAAAAATTGAAACTGTGATCAAATATTTTGTGTGAAAATTATTTTTTCGGAAAATGGGTCACTACATACATCTTTGGCTTTCCTGACATAAAACATTGTCGGCTAGACCTGGGTTATATAAAAATATCCTGTTAATTATTTTTAGATAGAAACATTTATAAACTAATTTTGGAAATGAGTTTATCAATGAAATCCTTTTGTATTTGTGATAGCTCAGAGGTGAAGATATAATTAAACCTATCTTTAATATGTACAGCCAAAAAGTAGTGTTGAATTTAAATTCGTACCATTCGGTATGGTCTTCGGAATTTTTCTGTTTCATTTACATGTGAATGTATTTCACACATAGTGTGAACTCACACTATGTGAGTTGTTGCAGGTGTCAGTAATTCTTTAACTTTCCAGCATTCTTCTGATATATTTACTAATCTTCTGGGGAGATAGAGTTCTGCTGTCAACAGTTTCGTTTCTATTTCACAATTGCATTGACAAAGCTCGCTTCCGTATGAATCAGATTTAAACAAGAGAGTCATATAGCGAGTAGACGAGCCATAACAACTATATATTGAAACAAACTTATATACATGTATAATTCATATAGTTTATTTTTTCCCAATAATGTTTTTTAATATAATACTATGTAGTTAGGTATTTACTAATATTAGGAACTAGAGAGGCACTATTCTGTATGCGGGTTCTATTACAAAAAGTTGTGAATTCCGAAAGAATGTTTATGTTTGTTTCATCGACTTCGAGAAGGCGTTCGGCAGAGTCCAACACAATACACTTTTCGACTGCCTACGGGCAGCAGGACTTGACCACTATGATATAAGACTGCTGAAATTCTTATATTACAATCAAGTAGCCTCTATCCAAATTGGAGACAGTCCCACTGAAAAAATACCCATCAAACGTGGAGTACGGCAGGGTTGTGTTTTGTCACCCACTCTTTTTAATCTGTACTCTGAAGAAATCTTTAGGGAGGCTTTGGATGACAGACAAGAGGGAGTAAGACTAGGTGGAGAAGTAATCAACAATATTAGATACGCTGACGATACAGCCATTCTTGCAGAAAGTTTACAAGATCTCCAAACATTACTAAATCTAGTCAATGAAGCAAGTTATCGGAGAGGCCTAAAAATCAACATTTTAAAGACAAAGTGGATGGCAGTTGGAAAGATCCATATAGATCAAGGTCTGCTTTCTCTTAATGGAGAAGAGATAGAAAGGGTAAATCATTTCAAATACCTTGGCAGCTGGTTAAATGTAAATTGTGACTCTGATGAAGAGATAATATCCAGGATCGAAATATCACGTAAGGCTTTTATGACCTGGAAACCAGTTTTATGCAACAGAAACCTGTCAATGAACATTCGTAAGAAGGTCCTGAAATGTTATGTGTGGTCGATCCTATTGTATGGTTGTGAGACATGGACGTTAAAAACCACAATGCTAAACAAGTTAGAAGCATTCGAAATGTGGTGCTATAGACGAATCCTAAAGATATCGTGGGTTTCGCACACTTCCAATAAAGATGTTCTTCAAATGATCAACTCAGAACGTCTGCTCATAAACACCATAAAGAGGAGAAAAACAGAATACTTCGGCCATATAATTAGAGGACCCAAATACCATTTACTTCGCCTTATAATACAAGGAAAAGTGGAAGGAAAGAGATGGATTGGTCGAAAGAAACTTTCATGGCTGCGGAATATTGTGGAAAGACTATATATATTGTGAAACCACACCATTGTGAAAAGACAATGGTGTGGTTTCACAGTAGAAGAATTATTTCGCGCAGCAGCCGACAGAGAAAGGTTTCAGGAAATTGTAAACATGATGACGGCCAACGTCTGAATACGGACACGGCACCCAAAGAAGAAGAAGAATTACTAATATTATAAGTTTAATCACTTTCTCTCTGCATTGGCGCTACTACATAAATCGAACCATGCCATCCTTCAAACTATGCTTCCAAACTATCTAGGGCTCTTTTTAGCAATCTTACAATCACCATTCTCACTACATGACCAGCCACTTTTACTAAGGAAGGCTTACATGCAGCAGTAGAATCAAATTGGCTGCTGATGATGAATGAAATAAAGTATATTATACTGAGATTGGATGGTTTTTGAATGAAAAATCAGTTCGTCATAATCTAGAGAACAACAGATTGCATTTTTCGATTTTTGGTAGAACCAAAAGACTCATAAATAACTTACCAGACACAGAGTATACCAAAACCTAATGTAAACTCACTGTTATTTGAAAAAAAACTTGAATCACTACCAAAAACAAAAGAAAAGAGTCATAAAAACCTCAACAGATTGCAAAACATCACACCAGTGAAGATGATAAGAAAATCGTAGGGTCAGCCACAGATTCAAGAAACTTTTATAGTTTATTCGTCTTCCGGGTTTGGACCGTGTCATTTGTGAGTGACCCAAAAGTGGGTTCATCTCGACGTTTCGCTACAATTGTATGTAGCTTCTTCAGGAGAACAAAGAAAAAGAAAACAAGAGACAGGAAGATGGGTAGGTAGCAACGGTAACTCAGTTACTCAATGCAACCAGAGGCGAATACTAACTACCAAGATGGGCATTTGGCACAGTAACTCAACTACTCAACGCAGCCAGAGGTGAAAACCAAATGCCAGGACAGGGATTCACGTCCAACAGCTCAGAACACTAACACGTCGAGAGGCGGGGAGTGAATCCTCAAAGAAAGGATGTTACCGTTTTCTTATTTTCTTTTCTCTGTGCGGCATGTTTTTTCGACCCTCCGTCTTGCGTCTTCGTAGCTTGCTTTTCTTGCTTTGGTTTTTTTTGCCTACATTTCTTGTGTTCTTCATTTCTTTTTTGTATGTCCTTTTTACACTCATCATTAACCCATTCTCTTTTTGTTTGTTTTTTTATCATTCTTACTGCGCCATTTACTTTTGTTTTGATTTATTTCCAATGTCCTTCGGTGCCTAAACTGCCTGTGTTTGTCATTGTTTGTGTTACCTCTGTCTCATAGTTCTGTTCATTATCTTGTTGTCTCAATTTTTGTATATCTACTTGTTCTGTTCTTTGCTCCTGTCTGTCCCTCCTGTTTCTTTGAATTCTGCATCTCTATTTTATCTGTATTAGATGACCAGATCCGCAGCATGCTCCTCTTTGGCTCTTTACATCTTGTATGCTTTTGCGGCCTTTTTGTCTATCAAAATATGATCAATTTGGTTGGCAATTGTTCCACCAGACATATGTCGCTTTGTGTGGAAAAAAAAAGTGTGATTTCTAAGAAAATTCTTCTTTGTCGTAATTGAGCATTCATATCTCCTATTTCGATCTTGATATCTATTCTCTGTGAGCTGTCGTATATTTCCTGAAGCTTTTCGTAAAAATCTTCTTTTATTTCCGTTCTATGTTCTTCTGTTGGGAAATGTATGTTAATGATTAAACAGATCATTTCTGTTTAATTTAAGAGGTAAAAAAATGTTGTTTTTATTCTTAGTTTTCATTTTCTCTCATTCACTGCTTTAAAATCTAATCTGGCATGTTTCATCTGATTGTCAACTATGAAGGCTACTCAAAAAGTTCTTCAACAGTAAGTAAAAAAAATTGCAAAAATTCAGTTGATGTTTGTTGACTTACGAAATACATTTGATACAGTTCTTATAAAACAACTATGGAAAACGATAAGAATCGTTTCATGAGAATAACCCAGATATTAATACAACATTTACAGCAACATGTTAACTCTGAAAAACCGCGATAACTACTCTAAAAAATTCACAACTGCAAAAATCTTAATGATTGGATGCCTTACATTTCAGACATAATTTAAAAAAATTAATTCACCAAGTTTCGCATATGACCACATTATAACTGATCAAAATAAAAAGGTGTACTACATTTTCCGTATCATGAAAGCTCCAACTTACAATAAACCTAGACACAACTGAATATCTAAAAATTTAATATGAAGCAGGTAAAAATTTAGAAATGAAGAAAAATAGGGAAATTTAAGCCACTAGAAAATTTAAATACCGGTGATTCATAGTTTCATAAAACGGAAACGCCGAGTAGAAAATCACCAGCAGACTGGCGTACGTAAGAATACGTATCAAACAAATGAACGAAGTACTGTGGGAAACACCAGAAAACCTATTTACAATACCATGGTTCGCAGTATTAAAACTGGGAATAATAAGCAAAATAAAATCAAAATTACAGCAATCGAAATGGAACTTATGAGAAGAGACTGCAGAGTAACAGGGTTAAATCGTATTAGAAATGAACGGGTAAAAGGAAATTGAAACAATACGTACTCAAAAGCAGTAGCAAGGAGTAGCAGACGTTATTGAAAGGATAACAACACTAAACTGGAACTGGGCAGGTCATGTAGCAAGATCAGTTGATGACCGGTGGACAAAAAGAATTTTAGAATGGAGACCCCGAATACAATCTTACAGAAATAGAGGTCGACCCCCAACGAGATGGACAGATGACATAAAAAGAGTGACTACATATTTGATTCAGATGGCGCAACTTTGGACGAACTGGAAAAGCATGCGAGAGGCCTATGTTCAGCAGTGGACGTTAGAGGCTAGTTGATGATGATGATGATGATACTCAAAAACCTAGGGAAAAAATGTTTAATTTGGTATTGACACATAAGAAGAGCGGATCAAACAAAATGGGTATCAAAAGTATCGAAATGGAACCCAGTGGGAAGGAAAAGAAGCGGAAAATCACAAAAATCGTGGAAGGATAAGGTAAACAACCTATTGGAAAGACAGGACTTCAGAGAAAAAAGGCGACAGGGTATAAATGTGGTCTTTATTCTAGGAGTAATCATGTATTTATACTCTTTATTGTAGAGGATTTATGTGTAATTATAATTTTCGAAGGTTTTTCACTAGGTACTCCTGATACATCTGAAGGTTTGCATCTTAGCTTATTTTAAATATTTATTTAGTTTGAGCAGTACTAACTGTTAATCTAAGTAATTAATAAGATACAAGTGGCACAGAGAGCGATGGAGAGGTCAATGTTGGGCGCATCACTCAGGGACAGAGTTTCCAGTCAGATAGTGAGGAGAAAAACTGGTGTGACGGACGCAGTTGAAAGAATTACAACCCTGAAATGGAACTGGGCAGGACATGTTGCTAGGGTCAGAGATGGAAGATGGACAAAGAAAATTTTAGAGTGGAGGCCTAGACACGATGCTTATCGTAGTCGAGGACGTCCTCCAACAAGTTGTCGGACGATTTAAAGCGCATCCAGTCTAACTGGATTCAAGCTGCTCAAGATCGGATGCAATGGAATTATTTACGGGAGGCCTATGTTCAGCAGTGGACGCAAAATGGCTAATGATGATGATGATGAACTGTTAATCTTATCTGATCTTTAATCGTTTATCTGTTAATCTATTATCTGTATTTGATAAGTCTTCAAATAATCTTGTGGTCATATTGTCTGTCATTATATTCCTTTGGCCTTGGCAAAAATTAGTTGTAATATATCCTGTATATGGCGTAGCCGCCTACGAGAATTCCCATGTCGTTGCACTGTCTTTGCTACTAAAGAGTGCTTTATTCAGTCATATTATGTTAAATAAGTCAAGTTTATTTCGCCTTTTGGCTAAGGTCTAGTGCTATGGTTTTTAGGTCGTCAACATGACTTAACGAACACTTACCTAGTCGGAACCGATTTCCAAAGCACTGTAGCGGCCCATTTAAATTAGAAATTGAAAATTTTTTTGTATCAGTACCGGGAAGCAAACAATATTTATGTTAAATGGTGTTCATCTAAAACATTACATATTTTAGTGTGTGATACGTTCCTATAGAGAAACCTTTCAATATTTCTTTAAAATAAAATTACTGTCAATCAATTAATACTCTGTAATTTATGAACGCCACTGTTTTTTTACTTTATATGAAAGTTTAGAATAAACCAAAATTCCATTGGGAATTAACTACCTTTCAGACAATATGCAACATGCAAGATTAATAATTTATATTAATATTATATATTAACTATTATTAATAACCATAGCCATATCCTAGTCTCTTATGGATTTTATAAGAGATTTGTTGATTATATTCATATTGCTTGTAATATTTCTGCTTCTTCATAAATGTTTTCCAAGAACGAAACAAAACTTTATTTCGGTAAGTATAATCAGAAATACACGGTTGGAACTCTAAGAACTGAACATACAAGAGATATACATCTTGCTTTGTCATACAGTTATTCCTTTCCATTCTTTATTTTGTCACATCGCGGTTGCGCCAGAATGAATATTAGATAATGAAGATGTATAAAGTAACTTTAGATTAACTGATCCTTATTAAGATACCTGTCAAATTTATTAAATGTAAAGTAAAATAAAGTCTTCTGTGAAAAAGAAGACATTCGACGAATGTTTGCTTCCAGTCATTACTTACGGCACTGTAACGTTTTCTTTAACCCGGGCTACAACAACCAAACTCAGAGTAGCCCAAAGAAAAACAGAACAGTCGCTTCTTGGACTGACTATCAGGAATTGGCTGCAAGAATCTCAAGACTGACAGAACTGAAAGAGATTGGGGGAGGCCTATGTCCAACTTTGGACGCAGAAGGTTATATGATGATAAAAGTAAAAGATCCAAAATTAGCATAAACAAAGGAATGAGGAAGTGAATGAGCTAGCAACCTTTTTTTAATATTTCGTATATACAATTATAAGAAATGCAGAACTATTGCCAGTATCTAGCCCAATATTAGAATATGTAGATGGCTAGGACCTTATCGAATGCATGGCTCATAAATCCTGGAAGACTTTCCAACGTAGTGTAGGATATTGGTCTGGTGATCACCGAAAATAAACTTAGCGCAAACATGGAACAAAATTTTAACATCGATAATTATCATTTTGAAGTTGATCAACAATTCTCTTGTCAAAGATACTTGATAATATTAATGATATCTAAAATCTGAATACTTTTAGTGTGCAACATGATTGCTTTCTGCTGACTATCAATATTCTAGGGAAAATACTCAGAAAAATAATAGGTTCAATAATTTAGAATAAAACCAGACGTCATCAATATATATTTGAACTACAAAATAATATAAAGACATAGCTGAAGCCAAAAATGCGATCACTTCAATAAAAATTGTGTCAAGCGTGATAGTGTGTCAAGTCATAGCAAGTGAAAACTACCCTGCACGAAGTATTCTATTGGGAAAAGTCAAAGAGTTGATTTTGAAAGTAGAGTTGTGAGTTATGATTGGTGTTGCCAATAATTGGCATCAAGCTGATCTTACTAACGAATGGGATCGAATAGAGGAATAAGCTTCAGAACTTTGAGGATCAACCTGGTTCGTAAAATCAAAGTTTATTATGAGTAATCATACCTTACTATCTGGGCTTTTTTACTTTCATCTACTGTAATCTTTTTTAGAGAAGAAACTATTCATCTGGTATAGATTTTGTTCTAATAGAAATTCTAATAATGTTTGTCCACGTTCGTTTCTGCCTTTGTTTAAAAGTAATTTTTGGTATGTTATTTTAAACTAAATTTGCATAATATATTATTTACACAATGATATCGATAAATCTAGGATTACTCAGAATTATTTTTTTTTATTTCAGATAATTAGTTTGGCAACCAAACTCGAAAACAAGCTTTACCCCGTGATAACGACGGACTCAACTAAACCCAAAGAAATCGCAGACCACATAGAACAAAAACTAACCGTTCTTCTACCTGAGATCCGTAAAGCTCAATCCGAAGTCAATGAGAAGATCAAAACAATAGAACAACTAATTCAACAAACCCAAAACAACGACGAATCCAATTTAGCTGTCAGAAGCAAACTTCATGAAATTGGTCAGAAACTTCAAGATACTGCATCGGATTACCAAGTTTTATCCCAAGTTTTAATTGGGTACTTCAGGAACTTGGAGGAAATCGATAAGAAGGTTGAAATTTACAACGCTGAGTTAGAAAAAACTGGATATCCAAAAGATGTTGCGTCTATAGATAGGGTATTACAAGAACATGAAGCTTGTAGACAAACCATTGGAGAACGGTTGAGGTTTGCTCAAGCTGAGTGTGACCAAGTAGCAGAACGCATTCAAAAGCAGGTAATTATGCATTTTTAAAATTTCATAAGTAGGTACATTAAGTATGTCTAAGGAACATGACTATTATTTGCTCTTTCTTTCTACGCAAAGAAATTACTTCTCTTACAACGGTACTGTTTTAAGAAGGCAAGAGTTACGACGTTCATTAACTCACATTGTAAGGATAAAGTACTTTAAATTTTAAAGTTGGGATTTTTTCTCTTTGGAAGCATTCTACGATCACGAATATGCTTCTAGTATGTAAATGTTTGAACAAATGCATTAAAATAAAACTTTCTGACTTTAGGTGTTAAACAAATCAATAAACTCAAAGAATGATATTGTACTCCTAGTTTTTAATAAAAACAAGAGGTTTTATTAAATATTTTTTTAAAATTAAAATGTTTATCTACTAGATACTACTACGTAAGTCATCTATACGTAATTATTATTTTATTATTGTGAAAATAAAACGTGAAATAATAAATATACTCTACCGTACAATCATTTTGTGAGGTTAGCTGCTATTAGCAGAGAACTACTGTGTTTGTGTTCGTAGTTCTCTGGTTTGTCACTTACCAGAGTCGGAGTAATGTCTTCGCCGCCGCAGCTTAAAATGACTTCACACAATGTAAACCCACCTTCCGATCTAACCAATCCAGTAAATCAACGTTCGAATATCACAAACAGTTATGCTTCAGCCGCTTCACATTATTTTCCGAGTAAGACCCAAGCAATTGTATTGTACAAAAAGGGTGTACATATGTGGGAAATTATTAGTATAATTTCCGTGTATGTGGACTGTATTATATAGGGCTGGTTCAATAAAATTAGGAGACGTAGTAAAAGGTATACAGACAATAGCAAATTAAGTTTATAGAAAGTCTTACCAATATTTTTTCTGCTCCACACTCTCACGGTTGTTCCCGGTCTTCACTCGTGGTTATTCTTCACCCGCGAAATCTGTCTGATGCACCGGTTTCTGAACACGTGTTTCGCAAATATATCACGATTTAGAGCACACTTTGTCTGCACACGATTTAATACAGTATTTTCGATATTTCTCGCGTAACTAAAGCGGGAAAGAGGTAATTACGATAGAAAAACAGCCAAGATAGATGCTGTTCTTCTTGATAAGCGAAGAGAGAGAGAGAATGAAAGAGAGAGAGCGTCTGGCTCTAGCGATGGCCAAATTAAGAGAGAGAGAATGGTCTGTCCTTAGCGACGGGCGACCATCAAGAAGAGTATCTTTCTTCTTTGCTATCTTGAAACTGTCTGTATTTCTTAAGAGAGGGGATTGAACTGTATGTAGGTAGGGTTATTAAGGGTTGGACTAGGATAATGATTGTAAAATTATGATACAAGGATAGTTGATAATACAGCGAAAAAATGACATGATTTTTCGCATGTGAGAAAATTGAACATATATTTTGTTGTATCGATAATGCTAAACTGTAGGATTATCTCATTCCTTTGGGCACAATTATCAACCCAAAAAATATTATTTCATCTAGATTATCTTATCTAGAGAATCTGCATATATATGACAAACAAAACCGTAGTAGATAATTTCATGACACAACATGGCTCTATAGAATTACTCAGCGTTGTTGTAACAGCACGAAGACTTGTCTCTCCAGCAGAAAGACTAGTATTGTCTGGAGTCTGTCCGTCAATTCCTTATCAAGTATTAGTTAAAGAATTACAGAATATCGGTTTATAGCTTATTTCCACAATAACATTTCTGAAAATTAGCTCGACCTTCCGGAATATAGTCCCACATTGAGCTTTCAGAGACAAGTTTATATAAGCCTATAACATCACCAATTCCAGATTCTATTCTAATAAATTTCGACCAAACACCTTACTGTATATTTTTGTCACAAGGTACACTCACCTGCTTTATTTGCAAAAATACAGAACACATATCATCAAAATGCAATAACAGTTCAGTAACGGAATCAACTCATATTGAGTCAAACAATGAAGTACCAGATCAAAAAGCTTCAACAAGTACACTACACAAGGTACCAAACACCCAGCAGTCATCAAGTTATCCATTATTAAATCCGAGCATATCACCTATACCTACAAATCTCCGGGACAAAGAAATTACTAATACTCCTACTCATAGCAACACTTTTACTTAACCTCATTCAGCGGCAATACCGTTTTCACAAACTTCGAAAGCAATATCCTCCAATCTATCAGCTCATTTTTCATTAGATACAACTGCAGAAAATTCTAATAAAACTAATACATCACCACAATTTTCTGAAACAACCATTTCAACCAATCTTACAAATAAAACTTTAAGCTCGACTTCTCTCGCAACCAATGAGTTTGCTCCAGTACTTCCAAATGTGATAAAGCCACAGCATCTAAGTGAAAACTCTAATAGCAATTGCGAAAACGCAAGTTCTTCCATAAAACGCAGTATTGGTGCGATCGACACGCCTTTTTCAGACTCCGCAATTTCATCAGAAAAACTGTTTGCAAAACCCAAACCCTCTAAACCAAAAAAACCGCGCTCATCTTAAGTCCCATCTACACGGGAAACTCTTGAAAATTTCATTGATAATCATACCCCACCATTCGTTTTAAATTTCCACCAATTATCCTCACCGATTGATAATATCCAAGTCTCCCCCGAAACTATTAGCGTCGTTAAAAAATTTACAACTAATACGGCTGGTGTACTCCATATTTTACAAAGCATCTATCAATATGCAAATGATAGATCTACAAAAAGCAAGTTTACAAAACTTCAAAAGGAACTACACAACCATTTAGGGAAAGGGATTTCTGACTTAGATAGTGACTCTTCTGTAGACAATTGTTCAGTATCATCTAACCCCGAATCTGTTCAACAAACATTCAACTCTTTCAATGGAACATTGAAGGATGTTTCCATCGTTTCCCTACGCTACAGCTTCTTTAATCTGAATATTCTCCAGATATTATTTGTCTACATAAAACACATTTTTCCGAAACATTCTTTTGAAAAGTTGCTAAAATACCAGCTTTCCCAAGCTCATAAACATGGAAGAAGCGTCTAACTTTTATGGGTTTCCTCACACGTCAAAATAACAGGAAATGAAGAAGCTGACAGGACTGCACGAGAGGCAATTTTAAGTGATTTATCGGAGCCGATAGACTAGTGTGTTTCCAGTGACTTAAAGCTTATTTTAAAAATAAAGTGTTGTGTTTGTAGCGAAATGAGTGGTCTCAAACTAATTCCAATCTAAATAAAATCAAAAAAATTGTGTCTTAGTGGTTTCCATCGTCGCGCAATAGACGAGAATAAATTGCGTTTGCACGCAATTAACCAGATTAACGCACTCCTGCCTTTTCTTCTTCTTCTTCTTTCAGTGCCCTGTCCGATTATCGAACGTTGGCGATCATATTGGCAATAATAACCTTATTCATGGCGGCTCGAAATAAATTAAAGGTGGTTTCTTGATACCATTCTCGGAGATTTCGTAGCCAGGATGTTCTTCGTCGGCCTGGGCCTCTCCTTCCGTCGATCTTACCCTGTATTATGAGGTGTAGAAGGTTATACCTCTCTGGATGTCTCATTACATGACCAAAATATTGTAACTTCCGAACCTTTTCACAAAGAAAAATACACCTATATGTGATCAGTGTAAACGTCCGATTAACAGTCGAACACTTTTTAACAATGTGTAGTAAATATGACCAAAAAAGACAGCGCTACAAGATCCCAAACGCTCTTCCGCAGGCTCTGGGTCAAAACTGTTCCTGTGACAATATAGTGAATTATCTCAGATCCATAAACATTTTGTACAATCTGTAGGTATTCCTTTTGGTGGATGCGACATCTTTTTATAATAAAAAAAAAATAAACTTAAAATGACTGGTCTAAATAGGAACGCTATATTAGAATCATTTAAAGAGGATGAAATGAAAATTTAATGAATGCAGGTTTTTACTGCAAGTTAAAAAAATCGATTGAACTGGTGAATGAAAGATTAAACAATTAAATCATTGGACAAATACACGCGTTTGCAATCGTCTCTTAGTGTAATCTTAGTGGAGGCTCTTTTTTTGTATCCAGATACTACGACTGGAACTATTAGATGCGATTTTGATTTTTATATTTATTTATAGCTTTATTATTAAGTTTATTACAAACGATAAGTTAGATCAAAACAATAATTTATATATTTTGTATTTTAGGAACCAGAAAAAGCTGCACAGCACGACGTCAACAAACTTAAGCACGTTTTAGAGCTTAATAGAGCAGAATTCGAGAACCAGTGGCGGCAAAGGCAAGACTCGTTATTGGCCCATCGCCAAATTTCATCATTTGACAGTGATCTTAAGCAAATTAATGATAGCATCGATGACCTTGATAGACAAATTAAGAACCTTAAAGGTCAATATGGAGAATCTACATCCAGTGCTAAATCTACGTCCCAAGCATTTGCATACTTGGAGGAAACTATTAAGGTTAGTAAAATCCGTACTATTATGTGTATATGATTGACAAAAAATTTAGATCAAAATCTTAATTATTGATTTCCGTCTCCCTAACCGTCTTAGACCAGACTTCTAACATCGAAACAGAATGTGCATCGTAAATATATTTGCTATGGCACCCTGGAATGCATTGACAACAATCAGACTTCTTGACAAGTATCATAACTTGTGACAAAACATGGCATTTTAAAAATACATAACTGCTACTCAGAAAACTCATTTCTATATAACCCAACTTCCAAACTATATATTTTTTATAAGTTTTAATTTAGTGGTGAAAAATTGTTAGCTTTATTCGGTAATATTTATTATTAATTCAACCAATTTTATTTTGCAGACTTTGGAACAACGCATTCAGTCTTTCGTGAAGTCAGGAGAAAAACTATTAGCGGAAAACCACAGCGAATCTCCCCACATTCAAAGTGAAATCTCAGCTCTTCAGGATAAATGGAACAACTTAAAAAATCAAGCAAAAACTTCAAGAAATCTCTTGGATATCAGTATTCACTACTACCAATTAGTAGAAGAGGTAAGAATTAATAATATATATATACGATTACTTTTATGTCTAAGTTAGCCCATTTTACTTTTTATTTATAACACTTGCATACCTAAAATGCCGTTATTATCCACCTCACCTAACTCTACTCAACTCAGTATCTTGTACTCCTGTATATATTTGATCATCAATAAGTCACAGTTTTGTTCCCATTTGTCTGATTACTCTTTCTACTTTGTATTTTTTAGCTGATAGTATGCCTTTCATTTTAAAGTAAAGATTTAATCCATTACAGAACTGTATTTTTTTTTTCTAAACAAACTCTTGTTATAAATATTTTAAAATTTTAAGAAATGTTAGATGATATGTGAATAATAGCCACTTTTCATTTTTTCCAGGCTGATGAATGGTTCAGAGAAGGCAGTAAACTTTTGGTAACGATCGCTAGAAAATCAACAGCAGTAAAAACCCCAGAAGAAGCTGAAGAATTATTAACCGAGGTCTCCCAGTTCTTAACACCCGGAGAAGAAAAGCAAAATGAAAGAATTGAAAAAATATCCGAATTGGCTGTCAAACTATATGGAGCTGATGAATCAAAATACGCTCCTATCTTAAGTGGAAACAAAGACATGTTAGAATCATTTGAATCAATTATCAAAGAATTAAACACTTTGGCTGAAAATTTGCGAAGTGCTGAAGAGGAACGACAAAGGTTGGAAAGAGAAAAGAAGGAAGCCAAGGTTGCAGAAGAGCATCGGCAGAAAGCAGAAGCCAAACAGAAAGAAGAGGAGAGGCTGGCTGATGAAGCTCGAAAAGCCGAGGAGGCAAGATTGGCTGAAGAAAGAAGAAAGGCTGAAGAGGCTAGGCTTGCAGAAGAAGCTAGATTGGCTAAGGAGAAAATTAAAGCCGAAGAACTTAGATTGGTGGAAGAGAAGAAAAAGTTAGAGGAAGCGCGGAAAGCTGAGGAAGCTAAACTGGCAGAAGAAAGAAGAAGAGCAGAGGAAGCCAAGCTTGTTGAGGAAGCAAGACTTGCGGAAGAGAGGAAGAAATTGGAAGCAGAAAAACAGAAGTTAGAGCAAGCTAAACTTGATGATGAAGCTAGAAAAGTCGAAGAAGCCAAATTAGCGGAGGCAAGGAAGGCTGAGGAAGCTAAACTAGCTGAAGAAAAACGTAAATTAGAGCAAATTCAAACCAAACAAAGAGAAGAGGCGGAACGACTAAGACTCGAAGAAGAAAGACAGAAAGCAGAGAAAATAAAAATAGAAGAGAAAAAACATTCTCTAGAGATAACAGAAATAACGGATATTCAAAAAGTAGAAATTCAAAATGCTTCTAATAGAGGTGTACCATCACCAATACCGATCGTGGAAGACGCTGGTGAAGCACCAGTATTTACATCACCTCTAAGTGATGCAGTTATTCAAGAAGGCAATAAATTTACTTTTATTTGTCAAGTTACCGGACATCCTACACCAGTGGTTCACTGGTACAAGGCTGGTATATCCATACAAAATAATCCTGACTACAGAACAACATTCGAAAATGGCCTGTGTTCTTTAACAATCGAAGAAACGTTTGCTGAGGATTCTGCAAGATACACGTGCAGAGCTAGCAATTCTGCCGGTGAAGATGAAACTACTGCTGTACTTTCTGTTAAAGAAAGTGAACCAGAAGACATTCTCTCAGCTCCCTCGTTTCTTAAACCTCTTCAACCCAGCAGTGCCAAAGAGGGCTCGACCTTTCAGTTCGAATGCCAAGTGGATGGAAATCCGCTCCCGACTGTGCAATGGTTCAAGAATGCTGAGTGTATTGATAATTCTCCTGACTATAGTATCACTTATAATAATGGAAATGCGATCTTGAAATTTGATAAAGTGAGATTGGAGGATAAGGCTGAGTACAGTTGCAAAGCATCCAACCAAATGGGAACTGCTCAGAGTACGGCAAACCTCATAGTCACACGTAAGTAGTTTAAGTAGTTTAGATCCATATATTTTTTCTATTAGAGCAAATTTTTTATCTCGATTGTTTAAGTTTTTTTTATGTTTGCAAAAGTCTTTCTTTGGGTTTCGACAATTGACGTAATCATATTTTCCTTCTGTTTATGTGACATTATTAGACAATTTATTTTAAATAAATTGCCAAATTAGGTGGTACTTTTCCACTTAGCATCAAAGCCATTACAACACAAAAGTGCATGAAGAATTGATGAAAGTCATTACAGAGACTAAAACATAAAAGTTTAAAAACTTTAAATACCTATTATGTTTGTATGGAATTTAGCCACAATTATTGGTTTTAATGAAAATCTCATTTTAACTAACTAATGTTTGACATTTCGATTTTTCTCAAAAAAGATTATAGGAGGTCGAAATACATCACCTACAATCATATACACAATATATATATATATATATATATATATATATATATATATAATATATATATATATATGCAACACACAATACAAACAAACACAAATCTATAATATATACTATTACCACAGAATAATAAACAATCAGAATGTCCACTCTCAGATGCCGCCTTTGAAGTTTTTCAGCACGCGCCCCATGTTTTAGAAGGAAACACATAACACAGACATATGTTTTGTGAGGTTATGTAATTGTTTATATTTATGTTTAATTATATTATATTTATGTTATTATATTTAACAATGTCTCTAACTCTTAACTATTTAACAATGTCTCTATAACTCTTGCCTTTTCTACTCTTATACGTATTTCCTTCGCTTGATCCCAATTTGAGTTAACTGTTGTTCCCAAGTAGATGTACGAATCCACGTGTTCAATTCTTTCATTGTCTAATATCAGTTGCTGTGGTGGTTGTTGGGTTTTGCTTACTAACATCCATTTGGTTTTTGTGATATTTAGTCTAAGTCCGTATTGTGCACTTGTTTTTTGTATCTTACTCATTAGGCAACTCAGTTCCTCCATGCTACTTGCTACAATCACAGTGTCATCAGCATACCTTATGTTATTAATTATTTCTCCATTTATCTTTATGCCTTCTGTGCTTTCCTCCAGCGCTGTCTTAAATACTTCTTCTGAGTATATATTACTCAGAACTATTCAGAGCAGCAGCATCTAAGATCAGAATAGCCATGATGATTGCCAACGCGTCGCGGAGATGGCACGTGAAAAAGAAGAAGAAGAGTATATATTAAAGAGAATAGGAGACAAGATACAGCCCTGTCGTACCCTTTCTTGATCTCAATTGTATTGGTCAATGTAGATCCTACTTTCACTTTAGCTGTTAGACCCCAATAGAGACTCGCTATTGTTCGAATGTCTCTGTAGTCGACTCCGATCTTATGGAGAACTTCAATTATCTTTTCGTGCTTTACGTTATCGAATGCTTTTGCGTAGTCTATAAAGCATATGAACACGTCTTTGTTTATATCTCTGCAGCGCTGGATGAGTACCTGCAGACTAAAAAGTGCTTTTCTTATCCCAAGAGAATTCCGAAACCCAAACTGTGAATCTCCAATGTTATCCTCGCATTTTTTGCTTATTCTATTGTAAATAACCTTGGTGTATGCGTTCGAAATGTGGTTAATTAGACTTATCATCCGATGTTGATCACAAGACTTTGCTTTTGGTTTTTTCGGTATGGCAACAAAAGTTGACTCTAGCCAGTCTTCAGGAAACTCCCCGCTGTTATAAATATTGTTAAAGAGTCTGACGAGTGAGTCTAGAAATTGACTGTTTGTTTCGCACAGCATTTTCAATACTTCCCCGTATACGTTATCGTTGCCTGGTCTTTTGTTATTTTTAAGACCCTTTATAGCATTCTCCATTCTTCTGATTTTAGAATAGAAGGGCCAGTATCATCATTGCTCAGTGTATACCCACTAGGACGGTCATCATTAAACAGTTGTTCCACATAAGTTTCCCAGATTCTAACTAGTTTGTCGGGGTCTAGTTGTAGATTTCCATTATCATCGCACAGCCCTGATTTAAAACACAGAACACAGAACCCATATACCGATTTTAATATCTTGGTTTCTGAATAAACAAAAAAAATCTTGGCTAAGACGTTGAAATACAAACTTGTATAGAATAGAACAAATTCACTTTCAAAGAATGAAGAAAGTTCTTAAAAACTCTACCGATTTCTGAAAACGTACATCAATTCAATATTTTTAGGACTAAAAAGAAGGACTTCTATTAGGCAGATAAAAACCTTTAAAATGTGGATTTTTTGAAGGATATTGAGTACTGATTGCTAAGACAGGTGAGAATTGGCAGAGAACTCTTCAAAATTGTTATATACCAAAAAATTCGCTATCCTGTGCATATTTAGAAAGGAGACAAATCCAGCTTTCTATAACCTATAATGGAAGCGAAGATTAAAGAAAAAAATAAAACCCAGGACACAAAAAATGCTTGTGATTTAAGAATTTAAGAGAATCATAGACATGAACACCCATTACTAATTATCATCATCATCATCCAGCCTTCTGTGTTCAAAGTTGGACATAGGCTTCTCCTCATTTTTTCCAGTTCTATTGTCGTTCATTCTGGCCACATGGCCCGCCCATTTCCACGTCAGTTATGGTATACTCTGTATGACATATGTGACGCCTGTTCTTCTTCTTATTTCTTCGCGTTTAACTCTACCTCGGAGTGTCAGTCCAAGTAGCGAGCGTTCCATTCGTATTTAGGCTACTCTGGTTGCTGTAGCCTGAATTAAGGAAAGTAAAGAAAGTTATGTGAAAGTTTCGGCGCCATAAGTTATGACTGGAAGCAAACATTGGTCGAACGTTTTTTTTTTCAAATAATTTGGAATGTTGCTCTTGAAGAAGTCTGATAAAGCTCCATAAGCGGCCCAAGCTGATTCGCGATCAGTTTCAAGCACCGATAATGTATGCGACTTTCCCCCAACGCTCTCCTTACGCCGTTAATTTCTATCGTATCAAACGCTTTGCGAAAATATACGAAAGCTAGGACCCATGGTCGGTATATTGGCTGGATTTTGGAGGTGATCGTTAGTCCCACTATTAAGAGTACCTACCACAAAATAGTGCAAAGCAAATTATTAACGTTACCCAAAAGTAAAAGCATGAAAATATCGCTAAGCTCAATAATGATTGGCACGTTTAAATAAAAATACATATTTAATATTTTAACGAAACAATAGAGTGGTAATCTGTGTAAAAAAAATAAGGCGGCAAAAACAATATTAAAATTTTAAATATGTAGATTACTATACAAATAAGAACAGTAAATAGATTTTGGCAAAAATTATATCGACGTTTAAAAATAAACCAGGAATAGGAAATGGCATAGGTGTGTTTTTCAGTAATGGCTGTAAACTATTTTTAAACCATAACTAAAGGAGTATTGACCGAAGCGTAATAACCAGTGAAAGTTTTTTTTTTTTCGAGAATTTCTATGTTCATTGTATAAAGATTTCATGGATATTTAGCTACTTTTATGTGAAAAGCTATGAAACTAAATTATTTTGCTTTAGAGAAAATATAAATGAGCCTTTAATCATTATTATGATTAGCTAAATTAATCAACAGATGGTTTCACATTCTTTGCCTTTGTTTTTCGTTTTGTTTTAACATTACTGTTTATTATAAGATATTATTATGATCTCGACAGTTCTTAAATTCGGGCGTATTCGCCTATGGTGCCAAATGATGTGTTCGATTTCCACTAAATTATTAGTATATAATTTAAATCTCCAGGCCTTGAAGGCCCATGGCTTGGTTTACTATTCTTTTCCTTTGTTTCCAATTTGGGATTTTAAGTTCTATGTCTATTTCAACATCCTTTTTTCCACCTGGTTTTCGGCCCATCTTTCTTCTTCTTTCCTTCTATTCCTCCCGTTAGTTTTCTTTTGGGTAGTCTCGTTTTTGGTATCCATTCGGTATCATAAACCCTTTGATATTTGGTTCCTCATACAACTCTAGTTCTATATATATTTGGTCCTTTTGTTCACATTCCATCCAATTGCTAGCTATCCTCCAAATATTTTCCTGATTACGTTTTCTTTCCACACTTGGAGTTTGACTTGTTCGGAATTGTTCATTGTCCATGCTTCACTGGCATATAATGCTATAGGTCTTATCCCTTATCTATAGGACTTGTTTAGAACAAAGATACAACTATCTAACTATCTAATTAGCCCTCTTCGGTCCATCTTTGGACATAGTCCTCCCCAATCCTTTTCCATTCTTCTCTGTCTGTCGCTACAGTCATCCACCTAGAGCCCACGTGTTTCTTGATATCATCTGCCCATCTCAACTTTAAAGATACAACTATTACCAGTCATAATTCTCGCTTGGATTTCTTGTCTTCAGCGAATGCTAGGTATTGGTGTTTTCGTTGATACACAACTCCTGTCGTGTTGATTCCGGCTCCTTTCACCACAATTTCAAAAAGGATAATGAACAACAGTGATGCTAAAGGGTCCCCTTGTCGCACCCCTCACTGACTTCAAACTTATCTGTTTGTTTCCATTTATTTTAACACCATTCTATTTTTCTGAGCATTACTCTATTATTTCTTTTATTATTCTCACTAATTTTTGACTAATTCCCATTTCACGTAGTGCCTTTTGTATTTATTTCCGTTTTACTCGGTCAAAATCTTATTTAAAGTCGTTGAATAAGCCACAGTAGATTTCCCATTTCAAAAACTGGGGATTAGAGGTTAATACCGAAAAGACACAATACATGAATATGGGAGGCATCGGTCAAGACATGGAAACAGAAAGCGGATTAATTAAAAACGTTGATCAGTACGAATATCTCGGAGTTACACTAAGCGAAGACGGGAGAGACGACAAAGATATAACAAGAAAAATAGGAAAAGGAAAAAACATGATAAAAACACTACATCCGATCCTGTGGAATAAAACTTTAACTAAGAAAACAAAGAAAAATATATATCAGGCGATGATTCAGCCGGTGCTGACGTATGGGTCAGAAGTGTGGGTCTTTAACAATAATATGTCACAAAAACTCCTCTCAACGGAAATGATGTACTGGAGAAGATGTTCCGGGTTAACTTTGTTTGACCACATAAGAAATGAAAACATAAGAGAGAGAATGAAAGTAAAGAACACAATAATGGATACGATAGCCGAAAAACAATTAAAATGGTATGGACACCTGAGACGGATGAACGAAGAAAGGATACCACGAAAGATTTGGAACTGGAGACCTACACAGAGAAATAAAAGGGGAAGGCCAAGAAAGAAATGGATATCCAATATTCATATAGAAATGGAAAATAGAGGTCTTCAAGAAGGAAACTGGGCCGATAAGAAATTATGGCGATTGGGATGCGATAAGCGACAAAATTAAAGTTGCAAACACTCGCTATATATATATATATATATATATATATATATAATATATATATATATATATATATATATATATATATATATAATATATAGATTTCCCATATTCGTAGCTTTCTGTTTGTATTTCGCGCGGCAGAAAAATTTGATCTACTGAGCTGCGTCCTCTTGTGAATCCACATTCACAATCTCCTATACCTATCATTATTTATCTATTATCTATTTTTTGTATATCTTATATTTTATACGTACGTACTGCGAGTATTTTATATGCAACATTTAGTATAGCTAGTCCCCTGTAACTATGGCATAAACTTTTGTGAATTAAGTCTAATGTGGCTTCGGTCCATTCTTTTAATATGTGTTCCTGTTCTCATCTTTCTGTCAGCAACTTTTCCAAATGCTTTATTAGTGGTGAAATTTCATTTCACTTGAGATTAATTTTTCCCATGCCGATATTGCTAAGCCTTCTTAGAAGAAATAAAGAAATATAATTAACGGGACTTCTAGGGGTAGGAGACTTGCACTACCTACCTACATAATTTGGATATTATCAGCTCAGTTCAGAACAAGCTATTACCACAGTCGGTCGCAAAATCCCGTAAGCTAACATCGCTGGCTCGCAAATTCGCTTCTTAATATATTATATGTAACCAAGTAGTTCACATTATTATTCATAAAGATAATCAAGCCAATCATTCATAGTAATCAATGTTTCCTAAAACCGCAGTATAGTTAAAACCAGCATTGTTGCCAGTAGTTCGCTTTAAACATAGAAACGATATTCCGCTAAGCAATTCTACTTATAATTAATTATATATAATAGTGAAAGTAGCGTCAGTGAAAAGTGTAGTCATTCCAGCCCCTTCTGGTGGTCCTTCGTCCTTTAATTCTCTAAATAAATTAATATTCAACCAATTAGTACTGGTCCTTCATATTTAAACACTTAATCTGTTACTTCATCCTTTTCTGGACTCTTATTTGTCTTAGTTTCCCCATTATTTCTTTGATTTCTTTTTCATTAGCTGGTTTTTCCTCTGTACGTTCTTGATCGGTATTTTTCTTCAGTGTTTTATGATTTCATTTAAAAGCTGTTCGAACTGTTGCTGAACATTTTTTGCTTTTGTGATGTTTTCTTTGGTAAACCATTTTTCACTTTTCATTACCAAGTTTCACTAAATTCAATAAACATAAAAACAAATTCCTTAATTCTGAATTTTTCTTCGTTATTTGTTTTTTTTTCATTCCGCAACATCCATTGGCAACAGTTTCCAGTTAGAAGTACCAAATTTTTTTATCATACGTCTATTTCTATTATTTATTAACAACTATTAATTTCTCCCGATGACCTGGTAAGAATATTTAAAAATATTCTTAATATTTCATGTTATTAAAAAAATATGAAAATTTAAAATTTACCTGGGTCATTGTTATATTATGATATATGTTGTTTTTTTTTGGTTCTTAAAACCTATATACAAATTCACTGTTGCATATAAAAAACACTGATTATAAATTACGATAGAAAAATTACGGGATATATCTCTTCAAAAAAATACTAACACTGCATTGCACCATATACATATAGAAGAAAAATAAAAATGATAAATATTTCCTCTTTCAAATTGACCACCAAACGGAAATATTCGGCACAGTTATTGTCTTCTGTTGCAGGATACAAGAAAATATAACCCACTGCAATTTAAGATGGCCCATTTTGCACTACATTAATCTTTACTTCTGATTTACTGCTTATGGGACTAACTTATGGCATATTCAGAAAAACTATTTATTCAGTGTAATAATGAACAGGAACGTTCTCGAAATCCTTTCTTCTCTGAAAATACCCTTGTCCGCAGGACAATAGGATAATTACCATCATAATCGTTACCACCAGTGATTTCGAAGAGCTGAAGAGGCCAGTTCCGCTACAGACAATCAAAATTATCCTGAGTAGGCTCAAAAAGGACTTCTTAAACACAGCAACGCAGACTTCTTCTTCTTTGAGTACCGTGCCCAAGTTTTAGGCATGGGTAGCTTTCATGACGACTTGCCGATATCGTTCTCGATCTTGCGCGGCATGTAATAATTCATCGGCTGATAAGTAGAGTATCAACTGCATTAACCGCAAAAATTTTGATATATTACAAAGAGGCAGAAAAATGATAGTTGAGTAAGTTGAACGAAAGGAGTACGTTGACATCCACTACCGCATATATTCTATATTGTCACATTGTGGATGAAACGTAGGAAAAAAACTAATTTTAGACCGGGGCTAGTATTAAATAGTAAAAGTAGTAAATGCCAAGACATGCGAAGACTACAGACCAATTAGCCTAATGAGCCACTTACTTAAAGCGTTCTTGAAAGTGATACACGGCAGAATATATAAAAAATGCGAAGAACAAGTATCATGGATACAGTTTGGATTCCGCGATTTCTTAGGCACCCGAGAGGCTCTATTCGCTGTCCAAGTGCTTAGGCAAAGATGCAGGGATGTTAAATGTGATGTGAATATTTGTTTTATAGACTACAAAAAGGCATTTAATAAAGTAAAGCATAATAAACTTATAAACATCTTGAAAGAAGTGGGGTTAGATGACAGGGACTTGAGAATCATTTATAATTTATATTACAATCAAACAGCCAATATTAAAGTAGATGACCAATTGACAGAGGCAGTCTCCATAGATAGAAGAGTGAGGCAAGGATGCATTCTGTCCCCGGTGTTATTTAATATATACTCCGAATATATCTTCGAGCAAGCGCTGGGAGAACTACAAGAAGGTGTATTAGTCAACGGAATGCGTCTAAACAACATTAGATATGCCGACGACACAGTAGTTTTTGTAGATAGTCTGGACGGTTTGAAGAATAATGTCGCGTATATCAGATATAAGTAGAGAACACGGACTTGATCTTAATACGAAGAGAACAAAGTACAGGGTAGTCAGTAAGCGCGAAATATTAAATACACAGCTTTCGGTTAACCAACATCCAATTGACAGAGTGGACAGCTACACATACCTTGGTACCAACATTAACAGCCAATAAGATCACTCCAGTGAAATAAAACAACGCATAGGAAAAGCGAGATCAGCGTTCATAATGATAAAGTCTCTTTTCAGAAGTCACGATTTACCACTTGCTACCAAAATCTCCCTCATTAGATGCTATATATTTTTTTCGTTATTATACGGAGTAGAGGCCTGGACACTTTCCGAAGCTTCTTTAAGAAAACTCGAGGCATTCGAGATGTGGTGTTACAGACGTATTTTAAGAATTTCATGGGTGGATCGTCTGACTAATATTGAGGTCCTACGCAGAATAGGCAAGGAATGCGAGATTATTAACACCATCAAAGAGCGCAAACTAGAATATCTTGGCCATTTTATGAGGAATGAACAAAGATACTGCTTGTTGCAATTCATTCTTCAGGGCAAGGTATTTGGAAAGAGAGGACCAGGAAGAAGAAGAATATCTTCGCTTCAAAACCTGAGAAAGTGGTTTAATACATCGATAACCGGACTATTCAGAATAGCAGCAAGCAAAGTTAGGATAGCCATGTTGATCGCCAACATCCGGAACGAATAGGCACCTAAGAAGAAGAAGACCGGGGCTAATAAACGCCGAATGTGCCAGAGTGAAATAATTCCAGATCATGACCTAAAACCCCGAGTACAATCTACCGTTGCAATTAAAACAGTGATTAAATGAATGCAATGTAATAAAAGAAATATATTTATTATTTCTTTTTTCAAAATGTAGTATATCGATCAAAAACTGTTAAAACTTTATATGGAACTTTCTGAAAAGTCTGTACATTCCTTATTGATGTAATACATTTTTTAAAACTGTTACTAAAAATGTCAATGACTTAGTTAAGTTACTTAATTTTGTTTTAGAGTTTCTGTAAGTTTTAATATAATGCCGATTCTTTAAGGTACTCCAAATTTAGAAACTCCAGAAATATAATTAGACTCGCACATATACACTTTCAAAATAAACCTGAAGTGAGTCAAAGTGGTCGAAAGACGACGACAATTGCTATTTTTATCTAGATCATTAGCAATTTTTTTTCTTTTTATCGAAACGATAAATATACTTCAATCGAATATTTATTGTTTTTTTGTTTTGTAATTTACAGCATCCGAACCCGCCGAAGCACCCGTATTTGTCACCCCATTGTCTAATGTCATGGCGAGAGCAGGTCAAAAGATAAAATTGGAATGTGAGGTTTCTGGATTACCCCCTCCAACTTTGACGTGGTCACACAACGGAAAGGCGGTCAAAGAAACACGCGAGATCAAGGTAAGAGGCTTACTATACTCCCTTACTTTTAACCATTAACCACTACTTTACAATACCTATTAGATTTTATCACTTAAGAAGTGAATAGTGGGTGTTCATCGGTCGTAGTAGTACTTTTTCGACCGTGTTTTTGAATCTGTGACTAATATTTTTTTGGCAAAGTGTATCTCAAGTCGGATCTTATGCATTTTAAAATAGTGCAGTTTATTTTTAAAAGTCCTTGCTGCATATTAAATTATGTTCTTTTGATTCAAAACCAGATTTCATTCTGCTTTTTGGTGTCCTGTTTGTTCAGTATGTGTAAGAAGGGTAGATGTTTTTAATTAACAAAATGATTGATTTTTCGTAAAGGGTAAGTAATAATTCTCAAAAAAAAATTTTGAATATTTTTTTCTCTTCAAAACAATAAAAATTTATATTATGTTCCTTATTAATTTATATATTTATCAGTTTTATTGGAAGAAATCTTCCCCTTGTGATGCTTGTCTTTTTAGGAACATTGAAAATATTTATATACATACCGACAAAAAGAAATCAATTTTAATTATTTATTGATACGCACAACATGCCGTTAAGATCTAGAATACTAGGAGAACTTAAGTATATACAAACTTCGTAACTACTCTGAAGGACCTGATGAACAATATGTCTCCCTTGACTTCTATTTTGTGCTTTTTTTCCTACATCTTCTTCTAGGACCCATTAGTTTCTTGGTCATAACTAGTTTAAGACAATCTGTTCGCTGTCATTCTTCCTACATGTTCCACTCATCCGATCCTTTTCGACTTGACGAACTTGGTAATTGTAGGTTCTTTGTACAAAGCCATTATTTCTTTGTTGGTTCTTCTCTCCCACCCGTCTTCTATCTTCCTTCCTCCGAATACGCGTCTTAATGTTTTCCTTTTCCATCTTTTTAGAGCATCCTTTTCCTTCTTCTTTAATATTCATGTCTTATAGGCATATTTTCTCTCTCTCTCTCTCTCTCTCTCTCTCTCTCTCTCTTCAATCCTGACCCCCCAGGGGGAGTGTAGTGGTCGACGTGATGTCGTGTATTGTCCGTCTCCAGAGATCTCTGTCTCTGGTCATTTCTTTTAATTCATGCATAGGTCTTTGGCATATTCCTGTAATTTAATCTATCCATCTTGTTGGGGATCTTCCTCGTGATCTTCGGCCTTCTACCTTTCCTTGTATTATGAGTCTTTCCATGTTTTCTGTGTTTGCTCTCATAACATGCCCAAAATATTTTAATTGTTGGAGATGGACTTTACTAGAGAGTCGTTGGCTAACTTTTAGCTCTCTTAAAATTGAATTATTTGTTCTACGGTCGGTCCAAGGAATTCGTAACATTCGTCTCAAACAGAACATTTCAGTGGCGTCTATCTTTCTTCTCTCCGATTGTCCAGAGTCCAAGATTCACATCCGTAGGTCAGTATTGGGAATATTAAGCAGTTGATCAACCTCATCTTTATCGCTCTTGAAATTTGACATTCCTTCCATATTTTGGTCATTTTTGTTGTGGCAACTTTTGCTAGATCACATCTACGTTTAATCTCTTCTTGTAATGACCCTGTGTTTGTGATTAATGATCCCAGATATAAGTATGAGCTCACAACCTCGAACCGGTCAATTGTGGTTATGTGTGGAAGATTGTTGTGTAGTCTATCCACTATCATGATCTTTGTCTTTGATATGTTTAATTGCAGACCAAATGTTTGACTTTTGTTTTCGATCAGTCGTATAAGTTCCATCAGCTCTGCTTGACTATTTGCAAGAAGGCTGTGTCATCTGCGAAACGTAGGTTGTTTAGTTTATGACCATTTATTGAGATGCCCTTTTCCCATCCTTCAAGTGCTCTTCGCATAATATACTCTCCATATATGTTGAATAATTGTGGAGATAGTATACATCCTTGTCTGACACCCCGTTCTGGATGAAACTCGTTCGAAAGTGTGTCAAGTACTTTAACTGATCCAGTAATGTGTTCATATAGTTCAGTTATAAGCGTAATTAGATGTTGTGGTACGCCTACTTCTTTTAGTATTCGCTATAAGTGTCTCCACTTGACCCTGTCGAACGCTATACGGTAATCTATAAAACAGATGTATAGTGGGATGTTGAATTCCCTATATTTCTCGATTGTCTGTCTTATATTCAGCAGGTGTTCTCGAGTGCCTCTTTTATGGCATATTTTACTATGGGTCTAATTACTGTTTTATATATTCGTATTTGCCTTGTCTAAAAACGTATTTTAAATTTATTTCGGCTCTAAAACTATTAAATTTTTATTCCCTTTTGCTATTCGAGCATCGAGCTCCCATTTCTCTTTTCCATTTTTATCGAATTGTTTTAAATACCAGCCTTTTAAGGCCATAACTTTGACCACTTAGAGACCTCACACTAAAATCTTCTGTTTTTTCTTCATTCCTTCCCATGATCATATATTTGGTTTTGTCTTCAGTTAGCTATAATCCAAACTTATGTGCCTTCAATCATTTTCTTCACCACTCTTCTATGTATTGCTTTATGGTGTTTCCTTAACCATACTATATTTACGTCCAGTTTTGTACTCATAACAATCAAAAATCTTCTTTCACCGATTCCATCCACTTTCTTCTATATTCTTCTTTTTGCTCCTCTGGATATTTCTTGCTCAACATTTCTTGATTCTCTTTATTTTTATTTCTTAACGTTACTCCCAAATAATCGAACTATCCAAATCTCTCAAAGTTATATTCCTTGTTAATATCAGACACCTACTTTCCAAAACTGTCTTGAATGTTTATTATTTCTCCTCACTCCATATACTTTATTTTTTCTTCATTTCCTTCCAGCCAATACTACCTACTTCTTCTGTAAAGTCTTTTAAAAATTCCTCCAAATACTGTTGCTCTTCGTGTTATTAGGGCAAGGTCGTTCGCGTATGATACGCATTGATATCTGTGGTGTTACATTGAGCCTTTAGTGTGTATATTGCTTTCCTTTAAAATTATTTCCAGTATTAGATTAAAAATACATGATTTGTGATTTCTTCCTGTAGACTTTGGCCACCTTCCATTAGAAACTCGGCTATGATAGAAACTTACACCGTTTGCTTTATTATTTTTTAAACTCTTTATTATGTCTATCCTTTCTCCTTTTGTTGGTATTCTATCATTGTTATTCCAGTTTATTGTTTCTTCTGGTGGCTGCTGTATTTGAAGATATTATTCTTCATCAATGTTTAGTACATTTTTAAAAATATCTTACTTCTCTCGATATATATATTTTTTTTCTTGCACGTATAAACTTCTTGCTATTGATTCTTTGGCTTTTTGTCCTCTACACAATCATTATCATACCAATATCTTTGTCTTCTTTGAGAGGGTTTTAGTGGTTCTAACTGGGCTGATTGTTGAATCGTTTCTTTGAGTCGTGCCCACGTATTGTCTATGTCCTGTCCTCTACATGTTTTTGGAATTTTTTCCTAATTTTTTCGTTCTGCAATAATATATCATAATATTGTGCCACCTGCTGGTTATTTCTCCCAGTATATGTGGGCACCATTGGTGCATTTTTACTTTTTTACATTTTTACCAGATAGTAGTCTGAATTTGCATACATGACAGTGGTCTTGTGACAGCTGTAATATATATCGCTTTATCTCTTTTTTATCATTCCTTGTTCAGTTTATCTTATTTATTGCACAGCACAGCAGTCATATGTGCTTTATATTGAGTTAGTATGTCAATTAATTTCCAGATTCATAAAGTTACCGCATACTCCACATGTATATTTTTAATTCTTTAATAATTTGGTAATGAATAAGAGAATAACTTTTTGTAATGACCCGTACAAAAACATTGCATATTTTTTATATTGTTACAATTCTCTTGTTTACTTATTTTTCACAATGTCAAACCATAATGCCCTTTTCGATTTCTCTATTCAATTGTTTATATGTGAGCACTTTCTTTTACAGTTGCAACAGGAAGGCAACAAGGCCACTTTACTAGTTTTGGAAGCCTTCCCGAAAGATGCCGGCACCTACTCAGTAAGTGCCAAGAACATCGCCGGTGAAGCAACTAGCTCAAGCAGCGTTTCCGTCAAAGGTCGTCTTCCTACCGAAACATCAGACTCTGAGATAGCAAGCGATATGGAGCCAATCAAACCGTCTATTCAACTTCCTTTGACCAATACGACAGCGAAAGAAGGAAGTAGGGTACGACTGGATTGTGTTATAGTTGGACAACCTGAACCAGAAGTCATCTGGTAAGTATAAAAACCAAACTAAAACAGATTTATAGAATAATTAAACCTGCTATTCTTTGTTTATGTATTGTTGGAATTAAGCGTTTTAGTCGATGTAGTAGCAGATGCTAAACTCCATTTACAAAATTGAAAAAGAAAATCTAAAACCACAGCTAAATAGTCTATTTAATGCCAAAATTACCATATCAGTAAAAAAGGAACTAGATTCGTAATAAAACAGCAATTGGAGATGGTCAACTCAAACACCTGCCAAACGGAAAACAGCTGTGTCAAACTTGAGAGACTACGACAAACAATTCATTAGAGATACAATTGACTATTTTCATGAGACTGAAGGTTGTCCTGTATAATGGAAGCTTTTGCAGAAAAGGCTTGAAGAGGCCTAAGAGTGGACGGGAAGTGTGAGTTCTTTCTACACGATTGTAAAAGATTTGGGATGTAAATAGAAGAAAACTAAAGATAATCGACGTTTACTAATTTAAAGAAGGTAAGCTTAAGCTAATTGTATATATTGATGAAACGTCATGTACATGCAGGATACTCTACGCCAAAGAGCTGGTCAAATGATAGTGGTAAAGGACTGTTCAGAAAATTTCAAAGAAGCTCGAAACAAACAAGAAGCGTTGAGACTCTATGGCTGGATATAATATCGATAACACACATGGCAGGCAACACACAGCGCAACACGGGTTGCATGCATGTAGGAGATCTGTTAAAAACTGAAATACATAAATCTGGGAAATTCTGTTCAAAATCTGGCAACTTTGAAACACAATTTGGGGAAATAAATAAATTTTTTGGGCCCGGCAATTATGAATTGTCTGATTTTTTTTTTAATTCTATCGATGCTTATAATCATTAAATATTTACTTATTTCCAGGTACCATGATGACCAACCTGTTAAAGAATCCCACGACTTCCAGCTGCTATTCCAAGGAGACCGTTGTTCCCTCATCATCCAGGAAGTCCTACCCGAAGACGGTGGCGAATACAAAGTCGTTGCTCTAAATTCTGCCGGGGAAGCTTCCAGTAAATGCGTATTGAGTGTTACGCCAATTTCGGAATCGGACAACGAAAAAGCACCAGAGGAAAAAACGGAGGCTGGAACAGCGCCAAAATTCTCGAAATTATTAACCGACGTTTTAGTTTCAGAAGGAGATAAAGTAATTTTAGAAGGAAACGTAGTCGGAGAGCCGAGACCAGAAATTAAATGGTTGTTGAATAATTTGCCTATCACCGACCTCGAACATTTTATTTTTGTATATGATGACGAAGGCAATGTAAGGTACATATTTGCTACTTACTATATTTACTTATATTCTTGTTTTATTTCTTCTACAAATTTACTTAGTCATACTTGACTTCATCATCATTTCACTTCAACAAAAGTCATTTATAATGAGCTAGGTGAGTGGTAACAAATTTAATACATGTATTTTTAATTTTAGATTAGAGATTGAAAGCGTAAAACCCGAAGATAAGGGTGTCTACACTGTAAAAGCTACGAACTCAGTCGGAGAAGCTAAATGTTTTGCTCAACTAATTGTCAAATCGTTTAAACCATCGGAAACTGTACAGCATGAAGAACAGAAACAAGCTCCTGACTTTAAAGAAGGTTTTGGAGATAAGACCGTCTACGAAGACACAGCATCCAAATTCGAATGCATTGTTATTGGAAAACCCACACCAAAAGTCAGATGGTTATTTAATGGCGAAAATATTTCAGGTAGGTACTTTCGTAGTGTATGTTATTTATAAAAAGCGAAACATTTTTATCTATCTAAATAGCCCCAAACATCAATATTTGGATATAGACTTCCTCTCCCTTCTTCCATACCTCTTTATAATAGGTAGTTTGTTGCCATTTTTCGCCAAAGTGTTTTGCCATCCACCCACACGTATCTTACTATATTTCTCGTCCTTTTGCTTTAAAAGAACGAGAAAATGGTCAGAATGTTACAAAAATGTTCCAAGAGGCAATGAAAAACTTTTCGTTTAAACTCAATGGAATAGCGAAGCAAGTGGATATCTAAAAGCAGACTCCGGTAATCCAGGAGAAGTAAAACCCAACCTAAATATACTAGATGAGCTCATAAATAGACTGGAGATGGATGTCGTAGCGATTCAGAAAACGAAGCTCACTTACAACGTGGAACTAAATTTTCCTGGATGCATCTATAGAAACGACCATACATAAAATTTAGAAAGAACCTAAATCTTGATGAAAAAATGAGTAAGAGATATTACAACCGACGCCACAAAACGATTGAACATAATTGGAACAATTACAATAACAATCAGTCCAGATGAGACAAAACAGCATATTACAATTACTTCAGCAAATGCCAGACAAACAAATCATATATCCGACGAAGGCATGCATAAGTTTATGAAACATAGACGAACCATCAATACTAACAGAAGACAATTAGAGCGATAGAGCTACAAACAAAAACGAAAAAATTCTGAACAACTATCTAGAAAATACAGATGACACCACAGTGACAGTGCCTATCTAACCCACATACTTAGCAGGAGGAGACATACTACCCACACATCTGTATAGAGCTGTAATAAAAAATTTAGGACTACAAACTGAAATACAATCAATGCAAAAAGAAGTGGGTGACCATACTCGTAGACATATCCCATGTTTCCCTACCAAGCCAATACTAAGAGCCACAAGAGCTCCCCGTAAAAAGCAGCAGGACCAGATGGAATCACCAACAGGGACCTAAAATATCTCTCAGTGAAAGCAATCGTTTAATTAACACACATAAACAATATGCTGATACTCAAGCTCTTCCCAAATGGATGGAAACAAACCCATACCATAATGATACTTAAATCAGGAAAAACAACAGGTTTTGTCAAAACTACAGGCTGATAAGCTTACTTCCAGCGATTAGCAAGATAGCAAAAAATCTTCAGCAAGAAGAAACGTAAATTTGAATTTAAAGATAAAAAACACACTTGCGAGCTACAAACTGCTCAAATAAAGCAATAGATAGAGGTATAATTTAATGGCAAATGTAGCAGTAGACTAGATAAGTGACCTAGATGTATCTTAAACTTTCGAAAGAGTTTGGCGTGGAGGAATAATATTCAAAATGAGAAAATGTGGATACAACGAAGCCATGACAAGAATAATTTACTCCTACCTAGCTGTTCAGAAGTTCTTGATTCTGATCTTTCGGTGGTGGAAGTACTGCAAGGAGGAGTACTGCAAGAGGAATGATTTACTCCTACCTAGCTGGCCAGAAGTTCTTGACTCTGATCTTTCGATGGTGGAAGTACTGCAAGGAGGAGAACTATCACCTTTATTGTATAACATAAACATACTGTATACTGTATACAGACTAGTCACAGAGAAGGACACCTTGCAATGATTAAAATACTCGAAGAATACAGTCAGCAGAACTCTATTGAATACATTACATATCCAATAGACCAAGAGAGAACAACAAAACTTATAATTAAAGGATTACACGAAACTACAGAAACAACAAAAATCCACCAAGAACTAAAAGATGGAGGTATTGAGGTAATTTAAGTCTCAAATATGATTTCCAAAAAGGAAGACCAAGATCTGTCACAATGAAAGAAGAGAAAAAAGAAAAATTAAGAAGCTTAACAAATTACTGCTACATGAAAATACACGTAGAAAAAGAACTAAAAACACGGAAAGAAGTTATGCAGTGCTATCATTGCCAACGGATACTACCATGGATCCCAAATCATGCCATTGTGGAACTAAATGCGTGAAATATGGCAAAGAACAAATCAACAACAAGAACAAAGAACAGAAACACTTATCCAAAATGTGGCAAACTGTGGCGAAGCCCACACTGCCAATTACAGAGGGTGCCCCAAAGCACCAACAAGAAGAACACATACCCCACGTGCATCAATAAGAAGCAAAATAGTGGAACAGGCACCAGCAGCTAAAAACAATAACAAAAGCTGAGCCCAAGCAGCAAAAAAGACAGAATAACCAAAAAAAATTATGAAGTAGCGAATCTTATATGGCAATCCTACACGAACAAATTAAGAACTTCACTTTTATGTTCGAGAAAATGACCGGGGTACTGAGAGTAATGGGCAGTATCGGTGTAAATGGAACCCTCTAATCGATTGGACGATATGAAAATAGAGTCATAGAATTCTGGAGGACTGAGACAGAAAATTAACACTCTGGACAAGTTTGCCAACAGACTTAAACGAGACATCATAGCTTTACAAGAAACTAAGATAACAGAAAAAATAAAAAACAAAATTTCCGGGCTATGGTGTCTACAGAAATGACTACAGGACTAATTCGGGAGGCACAGCCATACTAGTGAAAAAAGGCATCGAACATCAAGCAATTCCTACACCAGATGATGCGGTCACTATGGAAGTCACTATAGTAAGGATCAATACGGAAAACGACATACTGAAAATCGTTTCGTCATACTCGTATGTTAGACCGAACGATTCGCTCTTTAGTGAGGACCTGAATGTCATTTTGGACACGGAGGAGCCCAACATCATTATTAAAGATTTGAACGCAATATCGATTAACTGGTTCGACATAAACACAAATCGTACGGCAGACTGTTGCGTGGCTATCTTGAAGAAAAACAGAATACCATAGTAGTAGGGTCCATACGACCTACATGCTTCCACGGTGAAACTTCCAACTACAATCAACCAATGAGGGAGACTCAACACACAACCCAATTGTATTGACCGTGGGAGCAGTAGAAACAAACTAAAAGCATTTCTATAAGAGAAAAAGGACAAATTGGCCAAACCATCGGAGCAATACCAACTATAAACACATAAGAAGAACTCGAAGATTATATCCTAAAACTAGAGTCAACAGTACAAGAAACCAAGAAGATAAAAGAATTTCTAAGATTCCTAAGATTTCTAAGATTCTAATCCTCTAGAGGATTACTTTGAATTTAATAATCAAATATATACAAATAACAGTGCAGGACTTATAACGGGCAATCCTCTAAGCCCATTGCTATCAGACATTTTTATGGATCATCTAGAGACAAAGATTTAAAACATACCGTATTTAAACAGTTTTTATATTGATGGAGATACGTAGATGACGTACTAGTATATTTCACACGAACTAACAGGCAACTAGATTAATTTTTATCGTATATTAATTCACTTCATAGTCATATTGAATTTACAATAGAAACAGAATAAAATCAATCCATAAATTTTTTAGATTTAAAAATTATCAGACTTAAAAATAAACATGACTTCTCCATATTTCATAAACCTTCCCATACTGACACGACTATACATAATTCATCATCCCATCCAACACAACATAAACTGGCAGCCTATCATAGTATGTTGCATAGATTAACAGAAATTCCGATGTCAAAATACAACTTTGAGACAGAATTAAATATCATCAACCAAATAGCAGTAAACAACGGATACTACGAACAAACAATTATTAAAAAGTTAAATCAAAAACTACACAAGAAAGCCCTGAAATTAGTATTTCCACCACCAGAGAAAAAACCCAGTACCTTCTGCTCGATTACATATACAGGCAAAATAACAACAAAAATTGCCAAACACATAAAAAGAAAGGAATAACACCAGCTTTTCGAACAAATAACAACCTAGGCAAATAATCAAAAACAACAAGAGCCAAAATAAAAAAACACTTACACAGTGGTGTGTACAAACTTAAATGTGGGGACTGCCCAAAAACTTACATCGGTCAAACTGGTAGAAACTTTAATAAACGAATAGCAGAACATAAAAGGACTTTCAAAAATAGAAAAACAGATTCTACATACGCACTTCACCTTCTAGATCACAATCATTCTTTTAATGACGAATTAAAAATTCTTCACATTCAAAATAAAGGCCTTAAGCTATCCTTGTTAGAATCTATGGAAATCAACAAATTAAAAAACACAGATATAATTCTAAATGACCAACTTAGACAGTTTTCCCCTCCTGAACCTATTTCATTAGAGACTATAAAGTGTAAACGCATGCCAAAAATAGATCACTTGAGAGAGGCAATCAGTCGAAACAGCTGTAGTGATAAGAAGTTAAAATAAATTTTGTGGAAGTTTGAAAACAAAGTTTTCAGTGTTTTATTGTTACACAAACGACAATACTCATTTGAAAGCCAACCCTGCTAGCTTATAAAATGAGAATGAAATGTCGCGAAACAGTTGACTGTTAAATGTTTCGGAAATTCCGAAAATTCTTGAAGATCATCTCTTTATCGGAGTTTGTGGAATATTTTGGCGGCGCGGCGGATAGATTTCTAGTTTCCCGTAACGCACAAGACTTACGCACAATCAAGAGCGTATGACTCACAAAAATATATTAGATTTTTAGATAAATAATTTTTATGACAACTGTGTTTTTGTAATGCTATTTTATATATTGTTTTAATGCAATATAATAAACTCGATATTTTAAAATATTTAGAAATTAATGTTAATTTTTTTGCTATTGCAGGTAAAGACTTCCTGATTTCTACCTCAGGAGACAGACAAGTTTTATCCATCCCGAACGCCAAGAAAGAACATTCTGGTTCAATTACATGCATTGCGGAAAATGAAGTAGGTAAAGCCACTTGTGTAGCAAACTTACACGTGCAACCAGCCAGTTCTGTGATCACCGAAGAAAATCAGTTGCAAATCCAACCCTCACTACCTCTTACTACTGAAAAATCACAACACACTGAATCGTCTTATAGAATTACCCGAGAAGTCGTAACTCAATCACAGACTTCCCACATGAGTAAAGTTATTTCATCCAATTCTGACGCCGCTCAACCGCATATTGAAGAACATAAAATCTTGTCTCAAAAAGCACAAACATTTAAACAAATTGATCAAGATGCTCCGGATATTAAAGAATCTCAAAGAACTGAAGAGTATCATAAAATCGGAGATCAGCCTCCAGTCTTCCATGAAAAATCATCGACCACTTACTCCGTTGGAGCACAAAGCGAACAAAAGCAGATTACTTCAAACTCGGAATTGATCCAAAGATCCGGTCTCAAGGTTCGCCCTCCCAAATTTGTTACTCCCATTATTGGCAAAATCGTCGACCAAGACGTAGACGTTGTACTGGAGGGTATCTTGGACGGTCAACCCATTCCACAAGTAAAATGGACAAAGAATGGCGAAGACCTTAAAGAAGATGACAGGATCAAAACTACGTGGGAACTAAACAGAACTTCATTGGAGATTAAAAACGTTACTGTCCAAGATGCGGGCCGATATTCTTGCACGGCTAATAACGATGGAGGAACTGCTGTTAGTACTGCTGACTTAGTCGTTAGAAGTAAGTAATTATAGGTACAGCAAGCATTTTAAAATTCATACTTTATGACTTCTTCTCCAGTTGTTATTGCCATGATGTTATTTACCACTTGTTCTAAAAAGTTCTAGTTAAATATTCCTTTGCCCAAATAATAATAAGTATTAATTGATAGAATACAAGATAGAATCCTCAATTTTGAGATCCTCAGACCTCACTTGCTTTCTTAATAATTCGTTTAAAGTGTGCAGCCTTTCTAGGGTTCCGATTTAAGTTCAGTCAAAGGTAACACATATTCTTATTGGCCACAACCTGCCTCAGCTCTCTCTGCTCTACTAACAATATTGCTTACTTTTTGTGAATCCAGTTCAAATTTTTGTCATTCTATTATTTCTTCTTTTTGTCATATACTCTGTTTTTTTTTACAAAAAATAATAATTTTGTGTTTTTCTCTAGAAACAATCTTTCCACCAGTATTCGGACGCCGTCTACAAGCTCAAGTGATTAAGAAAGGAGATCGTATTATCATGGAAGTGGAAGTAACCGGAACACCAGAACCAACAGTCTCATGGTATAAAGATGGAAACCTTATAGATAATTCCGTTAGCGATGTATACAAGGTTAAATCTTTGGGTCAAGGTCACACTCTAACTATTGAGAAAGGTGAGTAGTTTGTCATTATTGAAAAATGTAACTCCCATAAATTAAGTTTTTTCTATCGAATTTACTAATCTATAAACTTAAATTTGGGGATTGGTCCAAATTTATCTGGAAAAGATGAATTTTATTTAGAAAGAACATGTAGAAATTGTAAATTTTAATTAATTAACATAAAATCTGTGTTCTCCCCTTATTTTATTTCTCATTTTTCTTCTTATCTGAATACTCGAATACTTGGTCCTGAGTGTACCAAGCCATATTCTTTTATTAACCTCCATCAAGAAGTTTTGTGCTCTATATGAGATTCAGGTATGAATATCTTAAAAGTGTCAGCACTATTTCTTTTGAGCACCAGAGCATCCTTCGTTGAGCTCCATCAAATAATTCCGAGATACTTCATAGTCCTAGCATTTGGGACTATTTGAAAGAGCAATGCTAGGTATATCACTTAAGGACAAGAAAACAAACACATGGATAAGACAGAAAACCAAAGTCACCGATGTGGTGCAAAAATCATTAAAGTTGAAATGGGAATACGCTGGACATGTAGTAAGGAGCGATCTAAACAAATGGCACAGATCAATTTTAACCTGGAGACCATACCAACACAAAAGACCCAGAGGCTGACCTCCTATGAGATGCACAGATTATCTGAAAAGGACTGCCAGGAAAAATTGGCTACAAGTAGTGTACAATAAAAAACAATGGAAAGGAAGACTTGAAGAGGCTTATGTTCAGATGTAGACGTGAATGGCTAGACGAAGAAGAAGAAGAAGACTTCATAGTCCAGAAACCGGAAGGTTTTGAATTGACAGTTGTTTCAAAATGCATCGATTAACTTAGAACACATTATGTAGGGAATAGCCAAAGGATAAAAATCTATACTTATATACTATTTACTATCTAATGGGCGCTTTTACTCTTAAGCTACAGTTTGTTAGAACAGTGCGCAGCGCACAGCAGAATCTGTTGTACTTATCTCGCGGCAGTTTTGGGTGTTAGATTATTTCGCATAAATATTCTGTCGCTCTGAAAACAAGTTTAGATAGAGAATAGTTTCACGTTTATTCTCTTAAAGATTGTACTTTAAAAAAAATGAATTCTCGCAAAATTAATGCAATAATTTTATTACTCCAAGAAGAGGATGAAGAAGAAGAGTTGATAACGTTAAATATAAATAAAAGAAATAAAAATGTAAACGAAATTTTCTAGTAAAACTAGTTTAGGTGTAAATGGCAATTTTTTTATAAATATTGGTGGTATATCATCTGGTCCAGCCGAGGTGTTTTTTAAATCAGAAATAGCAAATTCTAATTCTTGAAAAGTTATAGTGATGTTTAAAGGATCGTTGGTATCTTTTATGGTGATAATAGAGGTTCTATGGTTTCCTTGTGTTTCCTGAGGTATATCATTATTGCTAGAATTTTGTTGATAAATAGCAAATGTTTCTGCAATAGCTTTGTTACAAGTAATTTGGTGTTTGACCATGGGTTAAGGAGTTTATTTGTCTAAAATGTCTTAATACAGAAGGTGTCTTTAAATTAACAGTCGAAGAAAGATTGTTTTTTGTACAATTTGTACTAGATCCACTAGTCTTTCATCTTCATCGGGAGAAAATTAAGTAGACATCACTCAATTATTACAATATTAATAACTATATAGCAATAAAAGAGATATAATGTCAGAAGCCTACAAGAATATAGCACTACAATCTTATACCAAAATATATTAAATGAAAAACTACTCGAGGAATACCTAACTGCTGAAACCAACCAACTATTAGAACATATAACTGACTGTATTCACCACGCAGCCCAAGAAGCTCTAGGCGAAAAAAACCAGAACAGTTCACAGATCAGCGGGAAAAATCACTTGGAATACACAGCTTGAAGAGCAAAGAAATAAGAAACAGGACGCGTACAAAAGATGGCTGAACACTAAGAATCTTGAAGATAAAGAAATACAAAATACAAAGAACAGCAAAGAATATTTATAGATATGACAAGGAACAACAAAAATGAAACATGGGATGCAAAATATAAAGAAGTTGACTGTTACATCGAAGGAGTAACAACAACAATCAACAAGAGTGGGCGCACCGAAAAATAGATAGAGCAAAGAATCGTGAAAGGAAAAAGGGTGATAGGATGCCTAAACCCGATGCTATGGTCAAAAGAACTATCAAATAAAAGAAAGCATCTCCTCTTTAACTCCATCTTTAAAAGTATGGCGAAACTCTATGGATGCGAAACATGGCAACTTACTAAATCCTTGAGCGACGCCTACTTGCATTGGAAATGGACCTCTGGAGAAGATCAGCTAGAAAATCAAGGCTTGATAGAATACAAAATGACCATATCAGAAATATAATGGGAGTCAACCATCATTGACGAAATTCAAAGGAGACAACTGATCTGGTATGGTCATGTGACAAGAATGGACGACGACAAGCTGCCAAACCAAATTTTAAAATGAACGCCAAGGGAAAGAAGGAAGAGAGGAAGGCCAAAACAATCCTGGCTGGGCGGCATTCAGAAGGCAATATCGAAAAGAAACCTTCACCCTGGCGAATGGAATGACCGACTTAGCTGGAAACTACGGAACCGGAAGGCGGAGAACGCTATAAAAAAACCAGGATAATAATAATCATAATAACTATATAAAAATACAATTATAATTTCGGTATAGATGTGTACACTGTCAGCTCAGCTGAACGTTTGCGTCCAAATCAAATCGCAGTTGATTCTAGCGCAGATTGTCGACGTACACGGCTATCGGTTATGCAGTGCGCGTAGCTCAGCAGAACTTAACAAACCGTTATCATAGAGAACCATTTCTTTGATTTTGACGAACGTGCGCGGCGTTCGACCGACTGTGAGTTATGCGTCGCTCACTGTTCTAACAAACCATAGCTTAAAAGTCGTTTCTACACCATTTAAAGAATGGTAAATGTATCTAATTTCAGATATCTCGTAAGTCCAGTATATGCCCGAATTGTTAGATGAACTCTGGGCTTAATGTTTACCCCATTTCTATTGTTGTCTCTCTATATATTAGGAATCTCAGTAGCTAAATTTACTAAATTTAAATTAAAAGAGACATTAACGAATTTATTAAATCCACTATTTTTTCTAGCTGAAATTAGCCATTCTGGTAGATTTATGGTTCGAGCTGTCAATTCCGGTGGAGAAGCTCAAAGTATTGCAGATATTGCAGTTATAGAACCTGCCCAGACAGTATGGTAGAGGTAGTCAAAACAGTAGTATTCGAAGACATAAAGAAACACGAAACATTGGTAAGTAGGACAATTACAATAATCATATTATTTTTTATTTCCATTTCTATCTATATATTTTCATAAACTACAGGCCTCTGCAGCAGATCAGATTTCATCGGTAGAATCTAAACAAGTTCCAGTTCCATTAAAACTTACATCTAGCGAATTGTCACAATCCTTATCTCAAAAATCTGAAGTTACCTCTACTACAGAACAAATGCTGTCTCAAGAAAAACATATTATAAAACTCGAGCATAAAGTGCCCGATATTCCTATGCCGAAACCTATTGTCCCAAAATCGATGGACGGTATCCTGGAAAAACAAACTGAATTTGAGATCTGCCATCCAACTGGCTTACCTAAACAAGAAGAAATATTACAAGAGAAAAAGGTTGACGTTCAGGAGGGAATCGAAACTAGTTCCATTTCAACCCAGTCATCCTTGCAATACTTCGTTAAAAAAATTAAAGAAGGAGATACTCCAGTGCAAGTGCAAAAAGAAATAACTGCACCAGAACCAATCAAACAGGACATATTTAAAAAATTCGAGCCAATAGACACTAAATTGCCTCCACCACTTCCACCTAAACCAGAACCACTGCGACAAGAATTTCAATCATTTAAATCGTCTCAAATAATTTCTCAGCCTCAACAACAATATCAATCATTTTCTTCAAGTCAGACCACACAAGAATTTAATCTTCAACCTGAACCACCAGCGGAAATTTGCTTTGCTCCTAGTGGAGGAACATACAAAAATCAAGAAGTAACTGATAGAATTAGAAGAATATCCGAGAATCAGAAAGATTTGCCTCCACATGAAGTGCCTACTGGAGCAATTAAAATCTTCCCGTCAACACAAAAAGTCAGTGAACAGAAGACGGAACAATCATATCAGTCTTCATATCAAACATCATCTTCGTCTTACAGTCGCACATTTGAAAGCAACTCTTCTAAACCAGCATTTCAAGAGCTTCCATGGGTTACTGAAAGGCCCAAATCGACTACTTCAAGCTATACTTCTGAAAAACAGTACATAGGCAGACCGCTTTCTGTTCAGGGCGAACCTTCCCAGGAAGGATTAATCATGGAAAAACAATGGGCTCATAAGTTCTCTGAATCTCACCAAGAAAAATCTTGGCCACCACATCATGAAGAACTTAAATATCAACCATCGTGGTCAGTCCAAAGTACTTTAGAAAAGAAATGGACACCTGTTACCAAACCTCAAGATCAGGGACCAAAACAGCACTATATAGCAGAGGTAAATAATTTAGGTAGCATTGTAGATCATCAAACGTCGCAAAGCAAGTCAGAATATATTTTGGAAGAAAGTAACGTTAAACCCTCCAAAATGATTAAATCATGGCCACCAGCACCTACTGAATCCAAACCTTTTTCAACGATTGATTCACTATCGATTAGACCAGTATCAGTTCAGGATATTACAGATGAGGTGTACTTAGAACCTGGCCCACCTCCTGAAATGGGGTATGCTCCACCATGCCAAACTATAACACCTCAGCCTAAAGAATGGGTGGCTCCACCTCCAAAAGAGTTACCTAAAGAGTGGGTAGCTCCACCTTCAAAAGAGCCGCCGAAATGGGCACCATCGCCAAAACAATGGGCAGCTCCATCTCCTAAAGAATGGGTTCCACCATTGCCTCCAAAACAGGTAATACCACTAGCTCCTCCTGTTCCTGCGAAGCCTCTTAAGCATGCCGAGCCAAAGAAAGTATTGCTTAATGATTTCACGCCATTTGAAAAATTTCCTAATTTAGAACCTTTTCCATTTAAGCCTGACCTACAAAAACCCAAACGGCCCAAAACAGGCCCTCCTCCAACCCCTTCTAAATTTATTAAAGGTAAATTTACCGACAGCGATTACGAAAGTGATATCGAAAATGTACGAATACCCCCGAAATGGAAACCAAGTATGAGCGACACAGAAGAACCTGCATATCGACGAGTTTTAGCTCCCAAAACTGTTCGATTTTCCAGATCGAGGTCCCAGGAACCTGAAGCTATACCACCATCCAAGTTTGAACAACCTCCACGATTTGAAGGACCTCCCAGACCTGACGTTAATATTGAAGAATTCCAAAAATCGGTGCAAGTCAAGAAGTTAACCAAGCATGCACGAGATTTAAAAAGATCAGCAGTTCAACCTGCGCAGTCAGAACATGTGCCCATACCCGTAAAAAAGCCAGACTCTCCTAAGTCAAAACAAAAAACAGTCATTGATGGTTACATGGCTGATACAGAGTATACGAAAGAAGAGTATAAAAAGTTTACGAAAACCAGCGAACATTCTGAAAGTCAGAAGATCCAAAAGCAAAGGGTTTGTAAAGTTCCTGATAAGAAGCCTGTTCAGAAGGTTCGCTTGACTTGTGTGATTTTTGTGTTCACCCTTACAACCTATACTAATCGTTTTTTGGCCTGCATGATGTTTGCACATTTTTATTTTTTTATTTACTGTCTTTTTTTTTCAGTAAATACTATTTTGATGTAACTAATGTCACTACACAAACATAACTGACGTGCATAAAATTGGTACAACTTTATAGATAAATTTATATAAATGTCGCTTTAAAATTGTTGGAATTTCAGTTAATGTTCTAATTCAATGACACTTAATGGTTGTTCTTCTCCAGTGTCTTATTTGGTCCAGATGTTGACGATCATCAAGGTTATCATGGTTTTGTTGACCGCTCTTTGAAACAGTTTAGTGGAAATTCCAAACTATTGTCGGATGTTTAGCCAAGATATACGACAGTGTATCGGTCTGCATTTGCTAAATACTTTGCCCTGCATAGCGATTTGGAGAATTCGATAGCATTCTTCGTCTCATTAGGTGGACGAAGTATTCAAGCTTACGTTGTTTCATCAAGTTAAGCACTTCTTTGTCTTTCCTTATGAGCCTAAGAACTTAGACATTTGTAAAATGGTTTACAGAAGGTATCTTCTCCTGCAGATCCACATCTAGAAGACTGTTACCTTCTTTTCAGTGGCTTGCGTCAGTATCCAGGCTTCGACTAAATATAGTAGCACAGGAAGAATATAGCACCTTAATAGCCAAGTCTTGGCCTTTAATCTCAAGTTACTGCAGCACAGTAAAGATCTCTTCTTGGATCTTGAAATATGGACCGTGGAACTTAGATTCTGGACCTAATCTCTTCGGCTTGTTCCCAATGTAAGTTAAGATTAGTTCCGAGACAGCTGAATCTCGCGAATTCTCGATCTCTTTATTCGTCAACATTAACGCTCCTGGTTCCAAATTTGCACAGTTGATAGCCATGAATTTGGTTTACCTAATGTTGAGGTTTAGGCCGTACCTTATGCTCGTAGTTCTCACGTGGTTTAGTACGGTTTTTGGATACTGTTTACTGGCAGCACAGTGTCGTCGGCTTAGTAAAGATTGTTGATATATTCACCGTTAATTCGTGAACATTTCAAAGTATATATAAAGAAAAGACATGTCTGTCTTATATCTCGCATAATCGTCAACTGGACCTCAGTACGCTGATTTCAGTCCAGATTTATGATTATTCGAATGTCTTTTTCATCTATTCCTACTCTTTATAAGACGATGATCATCTTCTGGTACTAACAACGATCAAACGCTTTGGCGTAGTCAATAAGGCACATGTAGATGTCGTAGTTGAGGTCACGATATCTCTCACGGATTTGTAAAGTGAAAAGTTCTTCTTGTGTACGCAGCAAATGGCAAAATCCAAACTGCATTTTCCAAAGATTTTGGGGAAAATGTAAATCATGGCGTATATGATTTAAAAAAAAAATACCAAGTGCATGATTCATAAAGCTAATGGTCCGGAATTCCTCGCAAGTTTCAGCAGATAGTTTATCTAGCAGCACTTCAAATGTTAACGATATTTGAGCTATTTTATGAGCTCCAATATAGAGCGAAACATTATATTCTGACCAAAGTACAAACTTTTACAAGCTGTTGGTGCGTGTTGTGGAGCCTCTTGCAGGCTGTTGAACTGTTGTCGCCGAGTTGGATCGGAGGTGAGAGGTTCTGTCTGGATGTGATGTTCTTTCCAGAGCGTAGTGTTTTGTTTTTTGAGCTAAGGGTGACAAAAACCGAGTTTCTAGTTACTATTGTTTCTGCAGCCGTTTTTACGTCTACATCCAACTTCAGAACTAGTGTATTGCACTTTTGGCAGTTTTGCCAATAGCTCAGTGTGAGTATGTGAGGTGGCATGGCAATCATAGAATTTGTGACGTGCACAAGTATTCGGTTGTCGGCTGAAGGCATCAACGGCGAGATTACTTCGGTAGCAGAAAGAGGACCCCTTTTACCGTCATGCCAGTATGAGATTTTTTGTGTGAGAGTGTTTTTGAGTGTGAATGTGTGTGCGCTGACCTTCGTATTATTGATCGCTTGGGTTAACGGTCATGTCTCGTCGGAGGTCGATAGACAGTCTTAATCATTGCCAAGTCAGGTGAGAAGATAGTTGCGGTTATTTTCTCGAGGTACGGACAGGTATCATTATGAGATTGGGAAACCGCAAACAACCAATCTCCCTCTGTCCGGGGTAAGGAAAAGGATTTGGTTGTGGGTTCTAGGTGGGTTCTGTAAGCTAGCGGAGTAATTTTGAGGATGTCAGCGTACTCGCTTGGAAGTTCGTCAATGCAAGCCTGCATTAGAATTGACGAAATGTGAAGTTTTTTACTTGTCTTCCGGGTTCTTATGACACCTAAGTGAGAGCAGTAACTTTTTAGGGTTGTTTGGGTGTTTGGTTGATGATTCTGAAAGAAAAGTTTCTGTTGAAAATATTTATTCTCTCGATAATTGTGGCAAAATTTGAGATGTTATGGATATCACGGGACGAGAATCTCCAGGGTTTGTTGTTTACACTACACAGAATTCTGCGTTCAGCTCTGAATAGTTTATGTTTTTGATAGTCTTTTAGAAGGCAATATGTTAGAGTTATAATCTATTAAGGGTCGAATGAAGGTTTGATTAGTATGTATGAGAGTTTTTATGTATGTTCGTCTGATTGTACCTATAAGTGGTTTGAGGAGGCGGATTCGATTTCTAACCCTATCTAAAGTTGCTTTTATATAGGTTCCCAGTTGAGTGTCGTGAAGAAAAGAACACCGAAGTAGGAAGCTGTCGGGTGGATATCAAGCCTTTCTTTCATCAAATTCAGGGGAATCGATCGTAATCAAAAGTGACGGCCCTTGAGATTTGTTGGGCTGCGAAACATAATGGTTTGTGTTTTTGCAGCATTAAATGTACTTTTTCACTTACTGTACCATTCTTTGATCTGTTTAATAGAGTTTGTGCTCTTTTCAAATTTCCCTCGGGATAATATCTCCTCGCTGTTGTGAGGAGTGCAGTGTCGGCTACGTAGAGAAACAACTGAGTACTTGGGATATTAAGATTAGAAATGTTATTGTTGTATATTATATACAACAAGGATGCTAGTACTGAGCCTTGGGGCACTACAGCTCATAGGGTAAATGGGGTTGATAATTGATCACTTATTCTCACTCTTACAGTTCTGTTAGTTATATAAGAATGTAAATTTTTATGTATTGTAGTAGTAGCCTGATGTCGATCAGCCTTTGAAAAAGTTCGACATGCCAGACCTGATCGAAGGCTTTTTGTACATCTAGAAATGTGGCAATGGCGATACAATTATTATTGCTGGCTTGTGTGACATTTGCTGTGAAGTCTATTAATTAATTTTAAGTTGATTTACCAGATTGGAATCCATATTGAAAGTTTGGGATGATATTGTGGGCGAGAAAATCATTAAGTCTCTCCTTGAGGATTAACTCTAGGACATTTCCTAGCGTATTTATTAGTGAGATTGGTCTGTAGGATTTCACATCGGTACGAAGTTTATCCAGTTCGGGTGTCATAATTGTGTTAGCCACTTTCTAAGGAGTAAGAAAGTGACTATTTTTAAGACATTCATTAATAATTTTTGTAAGAAGAGGGATAATACTCTCAGGAAGTTGTTTGAGATATCGTCTACTGATATGATCAGGTCTAGGGAAGTTATTTTTGCCTATTTGGTAGTAACTCTGCGTTTCCCTGTCAGTGAGGGGGGTCATGATCGAGTCGTGACCTGGATCGTGGTGTGAGAAAGTAGTTATGACTATGAATTCTGCATTGAGTTTGAAAAAGTGACCAAAATTTGAATTAATGGCGATTGACAATTGTTGTGAAGCTACATTTTGAATGCTTCGGATTTTAGCTCCGAGGAGCTGACTATTCGTTTGTTGGTCAACAGATGAGAAGGTTGAGTTTGTTTTTGTTTGGTGAGAACTTTGAATTCTGACTCGAGAATTTACCGCCATCTTCGTTATCTAGTTTCGAGTTCGTATCTTCTCAGCGGAAAGCCTGTTAGGTAGATATTTCCCTCTTAATTCTGGCAGAGATGCGGTTGTATTCTGTTTTGGTTCTTTCTTCTTGTAGTGCCTATCCGTTTCGGATATTGGCGACCATCATGGCAATCTGCACTTTGCACACTGCTGTTCTAAAAAGATTTGTGGTTGTTGTATTAAACCACGTTGCAGCAGTCCATATCTTTCGCTGTTCCTCATGATGTGACCGAGGTATTCAATGTTGGCTGTTTTTATTGTGATTAACAGCTCTTTTTCTTTTTTCATTCTCAACAGAACACCCTCATTAGTAACGTGGTCCGTATACGATATCTTCAGGATGCGACGATAAAGTCACATTTCAAAAGCCTCAATTTTCTTGCAGGTGGCGTCTGTGAGAGTCCATGACCCAACTCCGTACAACAGTATAGGAGAGATGTACCATCGTAGTAACCTGATTTTTATGGGCATTGATAAATCATGACATTTGAATAACTTTGAATAACTAAAACTCTGTTTTGGTAATGATCTTATAAAGACGAAGAAGCCGTCTTTTTGTTGAATTTTGGGACTTGTATTGTGGAAGTACCGGAGAAAAATATTGTAGCGTTTTAATAGGGATGGAGAGATTGATAGTTTTACACAGAAAGGACATGATATTTATACTTTCTATCACGTAATACCTCACCCTCGATAAATTACAAACTGAAAATTGTTAGCTTCCGTCAGCTCTCATTGTCGCCAAGTAATAAAATGAATATATAGCCTTCTTCTTCATGTGCCTTGTCCGTTCCGAACGTTTGCAATCAACATGGCTATTCTGACTTTGTAGATCTGAATAGTTCAGCAGATGACAATCCGAACCATTGCCGCAAGTTTTGGAGCCACGAGTGTCTTCTCCTCCCTGGACCCCTTCTGCTGTCTATTTTTCCTTGAGCGATCAGCGGTAGTACTCTGTATTTATTATGTGTTATAACGTGACCCAAGTATTCCAACTTTCTTTTCTTTATACTTATTCCTACCTCTCTCTCTCTTTGCCTATCCGGCGTAGTACCTCTTCGTTGGCCACGTGCTCAGTCCAGGATATACGTAATAATACGTAAGCCCACATTTCGAAGGCCTCTACTTTTTTCATCAATCTTGCGGTCACTGTCCACGCCTTCATTTCATATAACAAAACCGAGAATACATAACATTTCAGAAGTCGAATTTTGAGAGGTAGGGTGAGGCTTTTAGAGGTGAAAATTTGCTTCATGCTAATGAACGATGCTCTTGCCTTTTCTACTCTTATACGTATTTCCTTCGCTTGATCCCAATTTGAGTTAACTGTTGTTCCCAAGTAGCTGTACGAATCCACGTGTTCAATTCTTTCATTGTCTATATACCTGTAATACTATAAAGCCCATATATATCGTTAAATATACACAACGAATAGATGGAAATAATAAATTTCCCTTGTCAATATATCTCAAATTCACCTACATAGAATAATGTACCAAAACAGATTCCTTCCAGACCCTAACCGCTAGTTGTTTCTTTGAGAACTATATAACTGTTATTGACTTGAGAAATATCAGAATACGTAATATATATATATATAAGGTTGTGAAGCCAGTATGATGATGATGACTATTTAATTTTACCCCATTCTACTGCAGGACTATATTATCGCCGCTTATGCCAATGCCGTTTGTTTAAAGTAGAACAATAATGTTTGTATATAATTGTATTTGGGGCCTCAAGAATTTGTTGATACGTACACTATATTTTCTAAGAGGTCATATCTTCTGTTCTGTTCATTTTTTTTAAATTGGTTTGCTCGTTTGAAATTAAAATGAGTTTACTAAGAAACGGAAAACAACTACTTAAATATTTATCAATGGAGATGAAAGATAACGAAATAATTCGTTATTTATACTACTACTACTACTGCTAAGGATTTCCACAGTTTTCACTGTCTTCCTTCACTCAACCGTTTTCTCCAATTTTCCCTGTCATTCCAGTCTCCATATCGCAGGGTTCTTTTCTCCATAGCCTCGTCGATTTCGTCTCTGAATGACCTTCGGGGTCTTCCTCTCTTTCTTCTTCCGATCGGGCTCCATTCTGTGATTTTGTTTATCCAGCGTCCTCTGTCCGCTCTTCTGACGTGGCCGTACCACATATGGCATAAAAATAGCCGAACATCAAATATAGAATTTTGGGTTAGAAGAAGATAACCTTTATAGTAAATAGATTGCTAGATCTGCGTAATGACACAAAAAAGTCATGTACCTCAGAATAATTGTAGTAAATCAATCAATTTACACCCCTACACCCTACACTCTACCCTACAAAATAAACTGAAACTTAACTATATCGCTAAATGTTTCAGTTGTATGCACGAAATAAAGATCTAAATAAAAACATATTGTAATTTGATTGGTAAAAGTAACTTGAATAATATTATTTAAATTTAATTGAAAAAAATAAAACCAAATGTAATATTGATATTAATGTTTAACTGTCTGTTAGGTACACGTTAACTACACTTACTATTTGTACACGCTTTATTGCACTGTATACTTTATACATTTTGCCACTGTTTATCAAACACTAAGTTTCGTTTTTATCCCATTAGGAACTGGTAACAACTCCAATAGTTACAAGCCACACGTCACACAAGCTTTACGAACAGCGTGATAGACATGTACAATTGGAGCCTTTCCCGTTCAAACCAGAACCAGAAAAGCCTAGGGTAAAAGTAGCTCCTCCACCAAGTCCATCTAAATTCATAAAAGGTGAGTTCAGAGAAAGCGATTACGAGAGCGACTATGAGAGAAGAGTCAATACCGTATGGAGTTCTAACCAAGAACCTCAATACAAACCGGTACATCCTGTTTTAACACCAACTAAACAGCATGGTCAACAGTATGGAAGAACCCCTACACCACCAACTGAATTTGAACGTCCGCAAGCCTTTGGTTCTTCCCGTCCCAAGTTTGAACCTATTAAACCCGAAACTAAACCTATTCCGAAACATGTAGTGTACAAACCCAAACCGTTATCAGCTGCTCCTTCCGATTACGTTGCTCAAAAGGGATTGATCCTTCAACCTGGCCCACCTCCAGAGTTCGGTTACACACAGGGACCAACAAAAACTCAGTACTACAAATCCACTGTAAGTGCTCCCTATACTAACGCTATTCAGCATGAAACATCAAATTTAGTTCATTTCAACGAATCTACTGAAAATTGCCACCGCACGATGAGCGTTCAACAAACTCATAAAGTGATTAAATTTGGTGACAAATACAAGAAAGAAGGAAAACTAGAACCTTTTCCTTTCCAACCCGAACCGGAACAGCCTAGAAGAGCTACAAGTGTTCCTCCACCACCAACTCCTACGAAATTCATACCAGGCGACTTCAGAGAAAGTGATTATGAAAGTGAGGTAGAGAGCACTAGAATTAAACAAAAATGGACACCACATGGTGCGGACGATAGAAATCAATACAGAAGAGTCAGAGCTCCGGCTAGCGTTAGATCTTCTAGTGTTCCAGCTCCAAGAGATAGAGTATTGACTCCAATGGAATTCGATACACCACCAGTGTCAACTATTAGGACAGACTACATTGATGGGGAGACTAGAAAGCACGAATCCATTTACAGAAAGTTTACCGACAACAAAAATAATCAAATAGTTAAGAGAAGCTATTCTCACGAGCCTGCTCTACGGCCAGGATCGCCTCCGAAGTATGGATATGCTTCTGATCAAAGAATAATCAAGTCAACTGCAACTAAAGTGGCCTCGCATCACATGGACAGCATGACTAACGCTTTTAAATCTAAAACGCAACAGTTCGTTTCTGACATTATGGATGATGTAAACAAACAAAAATCCACCTTTAAAAATGGTACCGATGGTGATGCTCAGGTATATAGAGAGGAGTCTAGGGCTGCACAATATGGTAAGTGAATTTTTATTATTACTTGCATCATTAAACACTAAGTTAGTTTTGTGTTGTGAAAAAAATTAGGAACTTTTTTTTATAATTGGCATATATAATTTGCAAAGATTATAAATTGGTTTTATATTGTATCGACAATATTTTGTCTACCTTAGGGTAAGATCATGGGGGTAAAAAATTGGGGACAGAAACTAAAAAGATTGAGATAGGGCAAGCAAAACAAATCGATACTTGTGCGTACGGCATTCAGGAGTTAATTGGAGAGCTGGGTCGTGAATAAGTTGAATAACAAAGGGGTCGGATTGGGGTAACTACAAAATGAAGCAAAGGGGCACTTACATAAATCTCCTGGAACAAATGAACAAAACAATGACAACAAGAAATACCTCTAATTACTTTAGGAAAGAAAGGTTCTTCTTTCCTAAAATCAAGAATACACACAAGGGTTAGGAGACTTTTCTAAAATAAACAAAATGGTTGGAGAAATAAATCAAACATTTATTACTGTCAACACAAACAGCTACAAAATATAAAATGATGTAAAATATATATGATATAATTAGTTATAGATACATAAAGACTATATTAATAGAAATAAACAAAGAAAAACTTACATGTGTCCTATTTTTGTTTAAAGTCTACATTGCTACATAACTTACGAATTAATTACTATTTAACTGGGAATAAGCCATGATTAAAGGTAAAAATACGTTTATTGACGTTTCAATTTCCACTTCGGAAATCATTCTCAAAATACAAACAGTAAATTGTTTAACAATTTAGGAATTATACAAAACTGAGTATTTCTTCTAGACGAAAGTAGAATGGGTAATAAGCAGTTTGGATTTAGAAATGGTCTAGGAACTAGACAGGCACTATTTTGTATGCGCGTCTCTAAGAAAAAAGCTGTGAGGTTCAAAAAAACGTTTATGTTTGTTTCATCGACTTCGAAAAGGCATTCGACAGAGTACAACACGATACACTTTTCGATTGTCTTCGGACAGCAGGACCTGACCACGACGATATAAGACTGCTAAAATACTTATATTACAATCAAGTAGCCTCTACCCAAATTGAAGATAGTCGTATTGAATATATATATTCGGATTTATAACGTCTTACGACGTTGTCCGACTCCCAAACGCCACTGTATTCCGTCTTCAGTTAGGTCTTCGTCCAGATTTCGAGCGCTAATCGCTTTCCTAACTCCCAGGTTCCAGCTCTGTGGTGGTCTTCCTTGTTTCCTCTTCTCTTGGGGTTGCCGCATCATCGTCTTTTTAGGCAATCTTTCGTCTCCCATTCGGCTCACATGCTCATATCATATGAGCTGTTTTCTCTCAATATCTTCAACTATAGTGCCCTCTATACCCATTTGTTGTTTTATTACTTCATTCCGTATTCTGTCGGCTCTTGATATTCTCATCGATCTTCTGATGGCATCCATTTCTGTGGCTTCGACCTTTTTCTTATATTTCTCGGATATTCTCTATGTCTCAGCTCCATAAAGTATTCTAGTTTTAACCATTGTCTCATAGATGTTCCATTTTCTTTTCTTTGATATTTCATAGAACTCCGTTTAAACATGCTATAGCTCTTCGTGCTTGTACAATTCGATGTTCTATTTCTCGTTCTTCTTTTCCACTACGGTCGAAGCTGACGCCCAGGTATTTATATTCGTCACATGGATTTATTTTTTGATTGTCATCGATATAGAGTTGTTCTGCTTCAGCTCCAATTGAGAGGTATTTTGTCTTTTCTAAATTGATATTTAATCCCCATTTCTGGTATTCTTCAATTAGTTTTTTAAGCATGTATTCCATGTCGTCTTTGTCATTTGAGATCACCACCTGATCGTCTGCAAACTGTAAAGTATATATGTAATCCTGATCGTTCAATTGTATACCCATTCCTTTGACTTTCCTTTTCCATTGTTTCAGAGCTGCAGAGATATAAATCTTAAATAGAGTCGGAGAGATACAACATCCTTGTCTGAGTCCCTTAGTAACTGCAAATTTTTCAGCTAAGAGGTTTCCGAATTTCATTTGGGAGTTTGAACCATAATATAGATCTTTGAGAGCACTAACCAATGTTTGATGTATGTTTGATGTGCCCAGGACTTCTTATAGTTTATTTAGCGGGACTGTGTCAAATGCCTTCTCAAGATCTACAAAAGTCATATGTAACTCTCTATTTGTCACAATTTTTTTTCTATAATTTGTTTAAGACAGAAGATGTTATCTGTACATGAACGACCTGCTCTAAATCCTCCTTGTTTTTCGTCTTCAGACGATTGATAATCTTCCTCTATCAGGTCCCGTAGTATTCGACCGTATAGTCGACTCATTGAACTTGTGATCGATATCCCTCTATAGTTTTTACAATTTCTCCTGTCACCTTTTTTATATATTGGGGTCATATATGCTGTTTTCCATTCATCTGGTGTTGGATGTCCATTAATATATTCGTTAAATATCACCGTGATCATTCTCTGTAATTTCTCTAAGCCATTCTTTATTAATTCCGTAGTTACTCCCTCTGGTCCACGTGCCTTCCCATTCTTCATCCTTGCTATAGCTTTTTGAACTATGTTGATATCTATGGTAATATGCTCTCCCAGAATTTCGATTCTTGATCAATTTATATCTTCTTTAAATTCGTTTCTGTTATGGGATTTAGAATCACTTTCTCGTTAGTCGGCTTCTTAACAGAGTTTATAAACTTCCACGTCTCAGTGCATTGTCGTCCTCCAATATAAGATTCTATCTCTCTGCACCTTCTCTCCCATGTCTCATTTTTGGAGGTCATAATTATCTTTCTAGTTTTCTTCTTTATTTCATTGTATCGGTCTTTGTCTGCGTCATATTTTGTATTCAACCACTTATAGTATATTCTTTTCTTTTCTGTTACCGCATTTTCGACGTCTTCATTCCACCAAAGCTTGTTACTAATTTTATTTTGTTTGATTCCTAAGACCTCCTGTGCTGTTTGATGAATATTTGATATTATGTTCTCATATATGCATTTGGTATTTGTTAGTTTTTTTGTCAAGTTTGGAGTCCATTCGAGTCTTATATAGTGTACGGGTGCTCTCATGAATTAAACTGGACATATTGTATTGAGGAAGATCAATTTTTTCTAAAAGTTGTTCGTCTTGGTTGATGAGACACTGTCCTTTAATCCATATGGGAAAACAATTTTTGCCCTGACCATGTGGTGATCTGATCCGCATACTGCTCCTCTCATAGCTCTAATATCTCTAATGAGTATTTGTGAATTTTGTTTAACTATCACGTAATCTATTATAGACTTAAGATTTCTTGTTGGTCGAAACCATGTATATTTGTGTATGTTTTTGTGACAGTAATATCCGTTAGTTATTTTGAGTCTATTACTTTCACAGATATTGATAGTCTTTCACATTCAATCCAGAGATTTCACAGAGTAGAGTCTTTTTCCGTTATCATTTACGACGTCTTCTCCATAAGGTCCAATTACATTGTTGTGGCGCTTGTTTCCTGTTCTTCCATTAAAATCGCCTTGAATATTGTATTGAATAACCACCCATTAAACGTGGAGTACGACAGGGTTGTGTTTTGTCACCCAGGCTTTTAATCTGTACTCTGAAAAAATCTTTAGGAAGGCTTTGAATGATAGACAAGAGGGAGTAAGACAGAGAAGTAATCAATAACATCAGATACGCTGACGATACAGTCGGTCTTGCAAAACATTTACAAGATCTCAAAACATTAGTAAATCTAGTAAGTGAAGCAAGTTCTCGATAAAGCCTTAAAATTAAAATTTCAAAGACAAAGTGGATGGCGGTTGGAAAGATTAATATAGATCAAGGTTTGCTTTCGAATAATGGAGAGGAAATAGAACGTGTAAATCATTTTAAATACCTCGACATTTGGTTAAATGTAAATGGTGACTCTGATGAAGAGATAATAACCAGGATTGAAATATCATATAAGGCTTTTATGACCTAAAAAAATAGTTTTATGTATATCGACAATAAGTTACATAGTCTTCCTCATCTACTGTATATACTAATTTAGATAATATTGATAACTGAATTTTAAGGTTGATTCCTATTTTAATCTAAAATTTTTTGTGTTTAATCAATTTATTATTATTGAGTTAATGCCTCGACAACTATGATCATTGGCATGGTACAGTCAGGTACCTAGCGTAGTGTGTGTGTGTGTGTGTGTGTGTGTGTGTGTGTGTGTGTGTGTGTGTGGAGAGTAATTGTCTTGATACTTAGCAAAGTCGACGTCATTGTCTTTGCTAAGGGACGCTAATTGTATCCGAACGTCTGCGGTCCCTCCGGTGAGTACCGATCGCACAAGGATAGAAATTATTTTCATTCATTAATTTTTAATAAACGAAAATTTCTCCACCCAGATGAGATTCGAACTCACGACCTTTAGCTTTAAAGGTAGGCGCTCTTACCACTGAGCCACAAAGGGGTTGTTTAATCAATTTAATTTATTGTTTAATTACATTTAGTGGTAATATTTACGTACCATATACAGTAAGTCAGTATAAAAAGTTCCTAGTTTTTTCGGTTTTGCATTAGATCTTTTATTGACTAGATAAAGATGAAGACAAAATTAAATAGAAACTTGCATGCCGTTTTTCCATAGTAGTTAATAGTAATTATTTATTTAAGTTTTCACATTTTTTATCCTAGATCAAAATATGAGTGAAGTATTTGTATTTTAATTAGATTTATTCCAATAGTTACATTTGAATGTTGGACCCTTCTGTAAAATTTTATTTGTGGCATATACACATGTTTAGCCACCATGTAATGACCAAAGTGTTTCAATATTCAACCGTAAATCAACAAGATGTTATATGGAGAAAACTACAGTATGAAGCACTGAAAAGAATTTAACAATATAGCTATAAAGGAGGTCATGAACACACCGAAGCTTAAAAACATTATAAATGGCGGTATAGCAAGTGGTAAAGATAGCATAAAACTAATTATGACT